GCATCTTCGTGGCTCATTTCGGCTCGTCGTGCCGCGTGCCTCGCTCGGTTGCGCTCGCGCTCAAGCGTTGCATCTTCGTGGGTCATTTCGGCTCGTCGTGCCGCGTGCGCTCACTCGGTTGCGCTCGCGCTCAAGCGTTGCATCTTCGTGGCTCATTTCGGCTCGTCGTGCCGCGTGCGCCACTCGGTTGCGCTCGCGCTCAAGCGTTGCATCTTCGTGGCTGATTTCGGCTCGTCGTGCCGCGTGCCTCGCTCGGTTGCGCTCGCGCTCAAGCGTTGCATCTTCGTGGGTCATTTCGGCTCGTCGTGCCGCGTGCCTCGCTCGGTTGCGCTCGCGCTCAAGCGTTGCATCTTCGTGGCTCATTTCGGCTCGTCGTGCCGCGTGCCTCGCTCGGTTGCGCTCGCGCTCAAGCGTTGCATCTTCGTGGCTCATTTCGGCTCGTCGTGCCGCGTGCTTCGCTCGGTTGCCTCGCGCTCAAGCGTTGCATCTTCGTGGGTCATTTCGGCTCGTCGTGCCGCGTGCGCCACTCGGTTGCGCTCGCTCTCAAGCGTTGCATCTTCGTGGCTCATTTCGGCTCGTCGTGCCGCGTGCCTCGCTCGGTTGCGCTCGCGCTCAAGCGTTGCATCTTCGTGGCTGATTTCGGCTCGTCGTGCCGCGTGCCTCGCTCGGTTGCGCTCGCGCTCAAGCGTTGCATCTTCGTGGCTCATTTCGGCTCGTCGTGCCGCGTGCCTCGCTCGGTTGCGCTCGCGCTCAAGCGTTGCATCTTCGTGGCTCATTTCGGCTCGTCGTGCCGCGTGCCTCGCTCGGTTGCGCTCGCGCTCAAGCGTTGCATCTTCGTGGCTCATTTCGGCTCGTCGTGCCGCGTGCGCTCGCTCGGTTGCGCTCGCGCTCAAGCGTTGCATCTTCGTGGGTCATTTCGGCTCGTCGTGCCGCGTGCCTCGCTCGGTTGCGCTCGCGCTCAAGCGTTGCATCTTCGTGGCTCATTTCGGCTCGTCGTGCCGCGTGCCTCGCTCGGTTGCGCTCGCGCTCAAGCGTTGCATCTTCGTGGCTCATTTCGGCTCGTCGTGCCGCGTGCCTCGCTCGGTTGCGCTCGCGCTCAAGCGTTGCATCTTCGTGGGTCATTTCGGCTCGTCGTGCCGCGTGCGCCACTCGGTTGCGCTCGCTCTCAAGCGTTGCATCTTCGTGGCTCATTTCGGCTCGTCGTGCCGCGTGCTTCGCTCGGTTGCGCTCGCGCTCAAGCGTTGCATCTTCGTGGCTCATTTCGGCTCGTCGTGCCGCGTGCTTCGCTCGGTTGCGCTCGCGCTCAAGCGTTGCATCTTCGTGGCTCATTTCGGCTCGTCGTTCCGCGTGCCTCGCTCGGTTGCGCTCGCGCTCAAGCGTTGCATCTTCGTGGCTCATTTCGGCTCGTCGTGCCGCGTGCCTCGCTCGGTTGCGCTCGCGCTCAAGCGTTGCATCTTCGTGGCTCATTTCGGCTCGTCGTGCCGCGTGCTTCGCTCGGTTGCGCTCGCGCTCAAGCGTTGCATCTTCGTGGCTCATTTCGGCTCGTCGTGCCGCGTGCGCCACTCGGTTGCGCTCGCGCTCAAGCGTTGCATCTTCGTGGCTCATTTCGGCTCTTCGTGCCGCGTGCGCCACTCGGTTGCGCTCGCGCTCAAGCGTTGCATCTTCGTGGCTCATTTCGGCTCGTCGTGCCGCGTGCGCCACGCGGTTGCGCTCGCGCTCAAGCGTTGCATCTTCGTGGCTCATTTCGGCTCGTCGTGCCGCGTGCTTCGCTCGGTTGCGCTCGCGCTCAAGCGTTGCATCTTCGTGGCTCATTTCGGCTCGTCGTGCCGCGTGCGCCACTCGGTCGCGCTCGCGTTCAAGCGTTGCATCTTCGTGGCTCATTTCGGCTCTTCGTTCCGCGTGCGCCACTCGGTTGCGCTCGCGCTCAAGCGTTGCATCTTCGTGGCTGATTTCGGCTCGTCGTGCTGCGTGCCTCGCTCGGTTGCGCTCGCGCTCAAGCGTTGCATCTTCGTGGCTGATTTCGGCTCGTCGTGCCGCGTGCCTCGCTCGGTTGCGCTCGCGCTCAAGCGTTGCATCTTCGTGGGTCATTTCGGTACGTCGTGCCGCGTGCCCCACTCGGTTGCACTCGCGCTCAAGCGTTGCATCTTCGTGGCTCATTTCGGCTCGTCGTGCCGCGTGCGCCACTCGGTTGCGCTCGCGCTCAAGCGTTGCATCTTCGTGGGTCATTTCGGCTCGTCGTGCCGCGTGCCTCGCTCGGTTGCGCTCGCGCTCAAGCGTTGCGTCTTAGCGTGTCATTTCGGCTCGTCGTGCCGCGTGCGCCACTCGGTTGCGCTCGCGCTCAAGCGTTGCATCTTCGTGGATCATTTCGGCTCGTCGTGCCGCGTGCGCCACTCGGTTGCGCTCGCGCTCAAGCGTTGCATCTTCGTGGCTGATTTCGGCTCGTCGTGCCGCCTGCCTCGCTCGGTTGCGCTCGCGCTCAAGCGTTGCATCTTCGTGGCTCATTTCGGCTCGTCGTGCCGCGTGCGCCACTCGGTTGCGCTCGCGCTCTGCTGCCACGTTCTTATATTGTCGCCGCCGGGTGCGTTGCGCACGGCGCGCTTCTTGCCGTAGTGCGGCTCGCTGTTCTTCCGTCTCCTTGGCACGCTGCCGAGAACGTCGCTCCCAGGCAAGACGATTTCGGCGCGACCGTGGGCTTTCCATCTTTAATTGTAGCACCACGTAAGGACTTAAATCTTTAGTAGAGATCTTAATGCAAAGTGCGACATACACCAGTTATTGCAAAATATAAAGTTGGCCAATCAACATGCCTAAAATATATGAAAGGATGGTCGTACACCATTTTTAATATTATTTAGGTAATCAAGTGTATTTAGACGTTCGGACTATAGCCTTTACCCTTGCGGGTATTGGTAGTTGGCTTTTGGCCTTTGCAAGTGGTTTTTGCCTTACACCTTTACCCTTTCAGGAAGAGGATTTGGAGATTCGCTTTTGGTTTATACCTGCCTATTTGGCTTATCGGTCTTTGTTTTTTCCTCATTAATCGTATTGGTATGCTAATGCGCCCGTGTGAGGTCACGGCTTAAGCCGATTTGCGTCACTTATTACGAAGTCATATTGAAGGGACACGGGCCCTACCGTTATTACGGACCTTTACGCCTTCGGCTTCTACCGTTATAGCACTACTACCATCCACCTTCCGAAGAAGATATTCAGTGTGAGACCCAAGCAAGCTTGGGGGACGGACTCTCGTTTTCATGCAAGGGTTAAGTAACGACTACCACACGACAGCACTCGAAAGTGTTTACCGCAAGCAGCCCAAAGTTCGACTAAGAGAACTACCCAAATTTCCAATATGCCCGATTTGGCAGGCAGCGGGTATTGAGCCCGTGCCCATTACACAGACCTGTATACATGGTAAGCAAACCATTGCACCACCGATGGGACGTCGTCCCCAGGCTCATAGGTACTTTTTACTCCAAATAATCTTACTTCACCCTATCAGATTTCACAAATAAGATTCGTTATATATTTCAGACATCCAAATATATCGATCAAATACGTTTTTCAATGCATATTAGCAAATATGAATGAATATAAAACGCAAAATCAGTCAATTCGAATTCCTAGAAAAAGCACGATGGCAAACGGATAAATACTTTTCTTTAATTAAATAAAAGATAGTTTAATTATATTAAAGGGTGTCTTAACAGCTTTTTGCCGCCTTTCGAAGCTGAATTCTGTAACGGAGACCTGCTCGCATTAATATTACAAAATTCGTCAAACCGAACTTAGATCTGCCAGTCGTTCCGACCGATAGGTACGCATGTTCTACGCAATTAGTATGGACGTAGGCAATTTTACTACAGTATATATTCGAAAAATCAGCTTATAATATTATCTATGCAAAATACAATATCAGCCAATGCAAAATTAGACAATAATGCAAAATTAGCCAATCCGAATGCCGGAAAAGGAGCACTACGGACGGACGGACAGACGGACGGACGGACGAACAGACGGACGGACGGACGGACACAATTCTTTTATTATATAGAAGATAACGAATTGTGTCCGCCTGTCAGTCCGTCCGTCCGTAGTGCTCCTTCTCCGGCATTTGGATTAGCTAATTTTACATTATTGGCTAGTTTTGCATTGGCTGATTTTGCATTCTGCATTGATAATAACCCAATCAGATTTGCATAACAGAATATAGTCCATCCCATGTGTTCGTATTCCGTGCTTTTTTATATAATACATCCTCGAAACGATGGGTACACATCAACCTTCATACCCTTGATATATATTGCTACATCAAACACAGCATTTTCTTATATATTAAATGAAACACATGCTTTAGATTCGTTTCAAAATATAAGCTCAGTACTTTATTAATACACTTGAACATGGCAAGAGCAAGCGTTGTCATCAGGTTGAACTGGATTCAGTTGCAAAAAAGCGAAGTGACCCCTATGTATTGCATCATACATATTAACTTATCAGAGTCAACCAAATATTCTAAATTTAATAGATGGGCACGAATATCAAAAAGCAGACTTTACTCACCATGTCCGTCGGAATGACAGGTACACATTGACTTTCAAATGTATCAATTTACTTTATTAAACTAAATATAAAATAAGGTAAAATGATGGGCCAATATACTATCCGCGGAGAATTCGCGCACGTATGCGTCGAAACGACGGGCAGCATCAAAATTTATAAGGATTCCTACAGTATATATATTACTTTTCGCACCGTCGTTTTGTAGCATCTCGTTTGTAAATTAAGTACTCATTTATAGATTTACTAAAGTATTTCCTTGGTCAGAGGCACCACACTTTGGGGGGAACAATATTTCAGTAGCACAAAACCTCTTACAATGATAAGCAAGTCAAAAGTGTATTATTCTGTTAATCCAGGTACGTGCGCAACCTGTGGTCGGTCAGCTAGAGAAAGGAGGTAGCCAACAATCAGCAAATAAGTACCACTTTGGAGTAAAGTTAATCTCCGCGATGAAAGCCAAAAAAGTGATGGTGTTGGCGACGGTCAGAATCGTCAGAGTCGTCAGGGTCGTCGTATTTGTCATCTTTGTCATCTTTGTCCGTTTTTTCAGCTTTGACATATTCATTGTTAGACTTGTTGTTAGCCTTGTCGTCAGATTCGTCATCAGATTCGTCGTCAGATTCGTCATCAGATTCGTCGTCAAATTCGTCGTCAGATTCGTCTTCAGATTCAGGGTTGATGCTGTCTTCTTCTTCGTTTTCTTCTTCGTTTTCTTCTTCGTTTTCTTCTCGACGTCTTCCCTTGTTTATCTTCTTTCCTATCTTTTTTAAACTTTTGATACTTCTCTCTGGCAACGGATCATCGTCAATTGTTTCATCTTCGGCAATCAAAAAACGGTTGGTCATCTCTTCGCCGTTGGACAGCGGTATGTTGTTGGTGGTCCCTCTGAGCGAAGTGGGCACGGCCACGCTGGGAACAGCCTGAACACCATCAATGCTTGTATATAATGCAGAAGCAGCAACTAGTGCGACGTAGTAGAAACGCATTGACGAACGGTGACAATGCGACTTAATGACTTCTGCTGTTGGACGAGAATTGTAATTTGAGGAGGCTAACAGCACAAGTAGATAGGATGAGGTTGAGGAGCTCAAACTGGATACCTCGCGTATAATCTACCGCCAAGCTTTGGATGGTGAGACCAGATGCGACAAAACTGGGCACATTTATTGGAAGGAGCAGTTTTCTCGTGATGGTGTCCATGATCCAGCTCCCCTGCAATTGGATTGCTTCATACGGTGAGACCGCCCTTACATTTCGGTGGGCGGCTAGCTCGAATACCGTTGTTCTATATGTTATCAAGCCCTACTTCACTCCGCCAATAATTCCACAAACAGTTACAATAACTTGAGACGGCGGAGAATCGCGTCCTAATCGCACAATGGTTCTCACAATTGGCCTTTAATTTTCGGTGAGACACCATCTTTGTCGTATTTGTGGACGTCTTTGCCACAGATGTCAGCTCCAATGTGCTCTCCTTTTTGCTTTGCAGTGAAGAACAGATGGGCAAACACCACAATGGACCTTTAAAACGACAGTACGAAAGCCCGTAGCTCTTTCTAATACTATTCTATATCACGCTTTGTCTAGCAATTCCCATCGTGACGTCATTCTCCAAGAACAGCTCAGTCTTACCGGATCTTTCGTTTCGAATCATCGGCACCCTTTGAGTATTCATTTAAACAGGTTCCACTGGCTATAATTGATCTGTCCTGCAATACAATATACATTTTGTATGAACTGCTTTTCAGCCAATCACTTTCATTCACTTGTCCAGAATGAAGCGCCACGGTGAATCACCAGCACCAGCAGCAGCAGCTCCGAAGTGCAAGAAGAAGAGACGAGGACGTCGCAAGTCAAAGACCGAGCGTTTGGCTCGATCAAACCCCGTAACTGTATCTATTGATACTTTGCACAACGTCCTGCAAAGCCGCTCTAGTCACGAATGGGACACCGCGCAAAGTCTCGCCCTTCAAATTGGGACACTTGAAGCACGGACAGTTGTCGTCCGTGTGATTCTGACAGAACATAAGGCCCCGAAAGCAGCGGCACATTATACAAAGCGTCTGAATGTACGAGGAGACGAATTAGTGGCTGTTTTTTCGTCTGGTTGGACGATTTCTCCGCTCTTATTGGCGCGATTTCTGGTGGAATTGGAGGAAGACACACTAGCAATTCGTGAACGTCTGGAACAGTTTCTATGGCCGTGGGTATTGCAGTTACAAGAGAAGAAAGAAGACGAGACAGTGATGAAAGCAGCTGTGCACTTGATGCTGCATCCGACAGCCTCTAATGATGCCAAGATGTACGACAAGAAGGAACGAGCTCGGAAATTGCAACGTGCTTTAGTGACGCAATGTCTGCAGACAGGAAAATTGCTCTATTTTGTGCCAATGTATGCACGAGCATTTGCTGATCAGATCAGTGTTGATTCTGTTAACGTAGCCTTCGAAAATGAGGAGGAGGAGGCGTTCTTAAGGGCTGATCAAGATAAAGAAAAGGAGCTACAGCGTCGAAAACAAGCGGCTCATCGTGTGGAGAATGTGCTTCGTCTGATGTGGCCAGATGCACGTGTCACAATATTTGGTTCTTCAGTCACTGGTCTTTTGTCAGATCCCGACGATGATGATCAAAAACCTGCCGATGTGGATCTCTGCGCTTTGTTGCCGTCAGCGCCACATTTTTGCCAAGAAACAGCGTCTCTGGTCACTGAAGTGATGGAGCATTTGTCGATTTATTTCTTACCTGATCGCACGGACGAAACTGAGCACAGGATTATCGCAGTCACGGGAGCCCGTATTCCTATTGTGCAGTTTTGGGACCCTTCTACCGATCTACCATGTGACCTTTGTGTGAACAACGTTTCTGCATTATGGAACACGCGTCTTTTGCGATGGCTCTTGTATGGTGGTGTCGGTGCACATTCCTCAGAGCGAAAACGTCAGCTTCAACATGTGCGACGATTCTGTGACTGGCTTCGTAAGTGGCGTCGGGCCAAGGCGCGTGTGGTTAGTGACGCCGTGAGCTCGTATGGACTCATGCTGCTTGCTATCTACTACCTGCAACGTATTTCTGTTCTACCCGTGCTTGACTGTAGTGCATATGTTGTTGAAGATGAGGTTTCGCTACATACACTGACGGACGATGAAATCGATAAACGACTCGAAGCGGCTGAGAAGAAGTTTATACTCGTCAACGAGCAAAACACTAAGGTGCGAGATTGGCTGGCACTTCGACGGGGCTTCTTCCGCTTCTACGCTTGCGAGTTCGACTACGAGCACACCGTAGTGAGCTTACGCACAGGCGACATTATGTCAAAGACCAGCAAGGGTTGGTCTCGTCGAAATGACACCCGACTCTGTCTGGAAGACCCAGTCGAGACCGAACGCGATCTGGGGATGCTCTGTTCTAGACGCGCACTTAGTCAACTGCGTTGTGCGTTTACTCATGCGTGCATTGCGCTGAGCAACGTGGACGATAAAGAAGTCAAATTGGCTTTCTCACAACCGGATGTGGAGGTGAATTTACTGGCTTCGTGGGCGTATGAAGAGGATACAGGTCCTAAGCTAAATACATGCGATGGCGCCGGCGCGAGCCTCTCTAACGCCTCTTCTATTGACTCGACCACGCCAACGCCAGTCTAGCGATGTTCTCATGCAAATTACATGGTAGCAGTTTGCACTATGCTGCCAAACAACTGCTATGGCAAGTGGAATGCCAATCGTATTTCTTCGTACCAGTTCCTACCATAGAAATAAGAGGAGGCTTGGTGCAAGTTTGGCTCCAATATGTCCGCACTTGGCTCTCTTCATTTTCCCATCACTACTGGATTGTTGTGAATGGCTTCTGAGTATATGTTGAAAGAGGCAGAAGACTTAAACAACCACTTCTGACCGCTGGAGGAAATGCCTGAGAATGCTGATCGCTATCATTCCGGACCAGTAGCTTCAATTAGCGCGTGGGCTTTACGAGATGGTTTGCATTGAGGGGTCTTGTCGCCTTCTCACGTCTTCTATAATCATTCACTGGAACTACTGCCACAACGTTGACATCATCTGTCCAAATTCCGCTTGATACGCTCGAAAGGGACGCTCTTGGATAATCGATTCTCCAGTGGTATTTTTCAAGTGAGTCAAAAGAGGAGGTTGTTGTCCTAGACGACGATTAATGTCTCAACTGCCAGGTCTTCACAGTTATTCTGATAGGAATGCGATCTACACCATCTAAGCTGACTTGGATTCGATAGCAACCACCTTTCTGGATATACCAGCTGAAGCGCTCTGTTTGTGCCACCGTCGACCAAATCGGGATGACTCGTGCAAATACCTCCATAGCTGCACCATCTACTCTGACAACCCATGACAAGAACCTTCCTCATCGTTTACGTTTGGCCGGCAGTGTAATTTCGCTCAAGCTGCAGCTACGCCTTGGTATTTTATGCCTTGACCTTTCCTGTCTTGCTCGTATGCTGGAGGGTTATTCGTTTAGTTAATCCATCCGATGAGCAGCGTAGCTCCTTTTTTCCTTTGCAAATTGTTGGTCATGCCTTTTCCAGTCTCTCCATCGCATTCAACTTGTTAAACTTGTCCTGCTTCCACTACAACCATGTTTCAATTTTTATGTCTCAATTTTTTTCGCAAACACGGCGTCGGCTTCTTGACTGCGTTTACGACGACTCCAATCGCTTGAATCTGCGGCTTTGCCCTCGTACAAGGGCTTACCAGTTACACTTTGCACGTGCAACTATCTTTCCGGAACTCTGGTTGTATTCTCAGACCCTCATACTCTGCTGCTCTGGAGCTGATCGAGCAATTTTGTCGTCGCGTCAGTGAGCTGCTGCATCTGCATTAGGTTCCCTCGGAGTAGCAAACACCCGTAACACAGCGCACCCAGCAGGAGCAATTGTACGAGTGACGGTGGCGACAAAAAATGCCTAATGGCACTCATGTGAGCAGTACAGGATGCTTTTGAGGCAGTCGCTGGCGCATTCGCACTCTTGAGAAGCTTGAGTGTAGGAGGCGCACCCGGTGCCTGATGCTTCAGTACAGGACGAAAAGTGGTACCTGTCTCCGATTCGAGCTCGCTGAAGCTTTCAGAAGTAGACAACGCCCCAAGCGTTGGGGACAGTGAAACGATACGATTCCGTTGTGACTCGAGGAACTCGATTGACTGTTTCATCCATGACTCCAGCGCCTCTTTCGACTCTGATCGCGCAGACGAGTTGATTTGCGACTTGAACCACGTTGCCTTGAGGAAATTAACCACTAAACCAACTTGAACGTGGCAGTAGTTGTTACCGTCACGAGAAAACACGTAGCGCATCTCCACCTCGAAGTAATCGCTAAACGGAATCTTACTCATTCGGTTCACTTCAGTGATCACAAAGCGATCCCATTTATCTTCACCATGAGAGCTTTTGTCAAGACGAAATCGTTGCGTCCTTGTGCACCCAGCGTACGGTGGTAGACCGGGAAATGAAGTTTTGGGGGGATGTTGAGATCGAACGATACGATAAAGTGTATAGTCATCCTCCTTGGAGATCTCAAAACCCTTTTGGATCTCTTCAGCTTTTACAAGCTCATTTTTGTCGATGGCTTTCCACGACTCAATATCAATGTCAATGTCGCGTGCCTTCACCATGTTCGTGTACAAGAATTCCTGACCAGGGCCATCGTTCCACAACAGATCGAAAACTCGCTTCACATCAGCCCGCAGATCGCAATCCAGAAGAACTGTCATTTTTTCGAGCAGCGGATCCGGTGGTAACAGCTCAAATGGTTCTTCATCACTGGCTGTTGATTTATCGTCATCGGTGTGGCCACCATCCTCCGTGATGTTACTGAGAGGCACATCCGCATTGGAAGACTCGCCATCGACGTCAATATACCCCACGGTAGAAATAGGAGATGAAGATGACATAGGCGGACCGCTTGAACTTCCAGCACATCCCATTGAAGATACGTGCTCCGAGATCAATTTATATGAGCGTCGGCGATCAAGTGCCTGTCTCCGGAGTTCCTTAGAGCTTGGGGACTTTCCAGGCCCTAAAGCTTTCAACTTACTAGCTTCTTGAAAGGCCCGAAGGAGCTGGTCCAACCGCAGGAAACACGTATCACGAAGCCCATTAAACTCAGCCAGGAAGAAAGTTTCTTTCTGCTTCGTCTTCACCTGCAAGCCATTGATATAGTAGAACTGCGGTTTCAATAGCGACAAGACCTGAGAGTACGCCACTTTGCGTTTCTTCGAGTCATAGTAACTCTGGAAACACAGACGTTCGCGTGTAAAGACAAGGTGGCCGTAACACGGCGTCATCTCCACGAACAGCGCGCAGTTGAAAATTGCAACAGGATTTTCATCCACCGACAGATCAAAGTCACGAACGATCTGCTCAATGGACGGTGGCGAGAGTCCACTCCATGTAACACTTGTGCTCTTCACCTGCTGGTGGAATTCCTGGATCCGATGGAAGCAGCCATCGCACACGCGCAGCTCTCCTCGTGTTAAATAAGCTTGATAAGGTACAACAATCGATTTGGTCGTACAGTCGGTGCAGAAGGAGCCACCGCAGTTTCGACAATGGTGTCGTCTCTTGGACAGCAGTGATCCAATATCTTCGCGACAGGATTCACACGCATACATATTGGCAAACGGTGGTGGCGGTAGGTTTGAGTTCATGACAACGACGTTCATAACCTCGACGTCTTCTTCTACGACACTTTCCCCCATGGATTTTCTGGTGATCATTGGCACCGTCGGGGTCTGAATCCCATTGCGAAAGAGTAATTTGTCCAGCAAATTCGACGAACTGCTCAACGTTGCAACGTCTTCGTCTTCTATCTTGCCCGACACTGCCTTCTTTTGAGGTGATAGAATGGCTTTCAACGCCAAGTTGTCACTAGGTAAAAAGATCTTGAGGTTCGTGTCACCACGTAACGGGTTTGACACTCGAGCGTGTCGATATTGCGCAGCGGTAGAAGAAGAAGAAGCACCACCGGGACTTGAGAGTGACGAACATGATGCAGGACGTGACATTTCCTCTACATTATTGACTGAATGCTGTAAAGGAATCGAGTCTTTGTCATTCATCGGTCTTGAAACTTGTAACGTTGATATCTCTTGACCAACTGCATGGTCTACTTGCTGTAACGTCGATTTTGATGGCATCAAGTGTGGTAAATTGATCATTGTTGCTGCATCAAAGTGCTGTTTTTTCAACTGTAACGATCTTGGTGATGATAAAGATGAAGTCTCCATCTGTGCACCAACGTCTAGCTGGAAATGTGGTTTCGATGAGTGTCCGTTATGAACCGAAATGGATACAATCGACTTGCTAAGTGAGACTTGTAACGGGTGACCAGGTGGACTGAACCTACGATGTGATGATGGATCTGAACTGATTGGGTCTCGTTTGTCCTTTCGTGCTGTCGCAATAGCAGATCATTAATATTGTAGACTAGCTATTCAGTAATCCTACTGCATTTGAAAGTCAGAAGCTCCAGGTGAGTAATCCTTTGCGAAAGACTTGGCAGCCGACATGTATCCAGTGATTCCCAGGTGTCTTCAAGCAAATGGATCAGCTTCCTATTGATTCAGCTGCTGATTTGTTCATTGCAAGACAATGATTCAAGGAACCAAGTGGAGGATGTCATCGTACGAGATACAAGTGCATCCTCTTCCTTGTCGACAGCACAAATGCTGACTACAAAATGTCACAAGCACAACCTCTCAGTACTTTATCAGCTTTTGACCACCTGTCTTGTGGAAGAATATCGAGCACTTACTTGTGAACGAAACCTACAAAACTGTCTGCCACTTTGGTCGCAAGTGGTCGTTCACCGATCGGATCAACGGCGCCGAAGCGTGGGTCGAGTTACCTCGACCGCCGTGCAAGTTTTCGTCAAGTGTGAAACACAGGAGCAATATGTTGATCGAAGTCTCGTAAATCTGTCAACACAAACGTTTGACCAGCAGTTTAGTAGCAAGACTTTACTAATCTCTTGACCAAAACAAAAGCTCACCGTCATAAACGCGTGCGCTACACTGTAGGAGAAAAGCACGATGACGACCAATGGTAGGATGGGCGAAGGGACCTGATACACAAAAGCGAACACATCACTCGTCAAACAAAAGTCCTGGATACGCAAGCCCCTAAGGTGTGTCAAACGTACATTTTCAAGGAGAAACCACGAGATGAGGCACGTCGTGGTACAAACGATCAATTTGCCTAGAAAGACCGATGCATGTCCAATATGACTGAGGGCTCCGACGCGGAGCAAGTTTGATGAAATTAGCGTGTATGCCAACTGTGATCAATGACAAGACAAAGATGGCAGACGTGTCAAGATTCGAGGTGAAGCGATGAACACGGAACTATGCAATACCTTTCCGGATGTGTAAAAGTCAGTGCCTTGAACTGCAGTGACGTAGACTGCTTCCTTGCAGATGTACTTCAGGCAGCGTTTGAAGCACCAAATACAGCACTGTGTACAGCAGAACAAGATAATCGATGGTCAGAAACAAATACCCAATGCTAAGAAGCAAACTCAGCTGCTTACACAGCAACACTTGGCCGCGAGTTTTGTTATAGTGCTGGCGTCAAATTCGTTCTTGTTTTCGAGGTACAAAAAGAATGAGCGGATGTGCTCCACTGGCGCGACGGAACCCGAGCTCAGTGCTAACGTTCCGAGATGGTACTTGATAGTCGTGTATGCTGAATAGGACACTGGGTCTGCCTCTTCAAAGTCTTTCAAACCGGTGATCTTGTTTTGAGGAGAGAAATACCATAGCGACACCGCTGTGGCCGTGATCATCTCGTTCATCGACAAGAGAAAGTTTACCGACCAGTACATTCCCCATAGATGGTAAATGAAGAGCCACCGTAGCTTCGTACTCACTTGGAACGACTCAGTCACTACACGAATGGAGGACGGAACGGTAGCTGAGATCGTTGCAATACGGGTCGACGTCTCTCCAGCACCAAAAATGCAAACTGTCACAAGAATCCCCCAGCCAAACAGCAGTAACAACAGCACGTAGGAAATGAACGGCAGCACGAGTAGTCGCTTCAATTGGGACAGCGCACGTGATGCATGCGTAATAAACGCGCCAGCAAGTAGTAGTCGAGACATATTGACCACCACAAAGAGCAGAAAGAGTACCGCCGCGCAGCACATGATAACAGAAAAGAACTGGAGCGAACTCAACATGGCCGGATCGTTCTCGTATGATAGTGGATCTGATGCCGCATGTAGCAGCCGATAACTGCTGTATGCCAGCGTGGATTCAATTGCCACTGTCGAGAGGAAGACACTAATACAGCCACAATAGCGCAATAAGACAAGATACAATCCCGCCGTTGACAGCGAGATTCCCGACGCAATCACCAACACCTGCCAACACTGTATGAAAGCGTTAGCAATGAACACGAAACCTCACCAACTATAACAATTTTTCCAATCCTACACTTCCAAGAGCTCCCACAAAGCGTCCTAACGTATCTTGCAATTGCAAAATCATCACTTCCTCCGATTGCACTGCACAAAAGCACCAACACCACCAATCAATCCATCAATGTATTGTTTTGTCTCTCATTACCCACCAAGGAACTCACCTCCAACTGGTGCACATACATATGCCCATGGATGTGTAGCATAGGATGTAAAGTGTACTTGTTGCAACTCATGAGTCGACCCATTCACACCTCTCTTTCCTGTTTGCAATGGCAAAATCACCGTGACAACTTGTCCATTGTAACGTGGACACGTATCCACACAGAACCCAAAGTCCGGATTCGCTTGAAAGTCAGGAAAATAGACAAAACGATCTTGTCCACATGGTTGTCCATGAAAATCGACACCACTTTCAATCTCTTGAGCAAAAGATCCACTACTTTCATGGGTGAAAGCAGTGATGGCTAACGCCACCATTCCAATCCAGTACGTAGCGAAAACCCCCACGAATAACACGTCCGTACACCCACGTCGGTGGCGAGTGCTCCGATGCAATTGATTAGACGAGTATCCAGTACTAGGAGACAATGCAGCGGCAGTACGCACTCTATCGGGACTTAAAAGAGGTTGTCGTTCCCCTAGCAAGTCCTGATGTACCTCACTGTGGCTACTTTGACTATGACTACACTCTTCTTGATTGTCGAGCCACATACTTGAGCTCTTGGTGGAATTGGTCGAAATGTCGATTGAGATCTTACAGGGACTGTTTCGTGACTCAGAAAACGAAAAAGTGAGTGGAATTTACCTAAGACTTGCAAAGCGACGAGAAGAAATGTCTCGCTAGATAACTTTTTTGTCATGAGCTCCATCACGTGTGCCGCTAGGAAGTAATTCATGTATTCAAATGCTTTACCTTCTGCTGCAATTGCAGTTATTTCGACATCAACGTGGCCCTTGCATGCATATGTGAAGCCTTCAGATGATGCTGCATCATGGCGTTCTTCTTGTGGTGGACGACGGTATTGCGGATGATGTGGTCGATGGCTGTATGACATTGTGTGCTTGACGGCAGATGACGGCAACGCGGAGTGGAGTCGGAGCTACGGTGAACGGCGGCTTTTTAGGTGGCGTAGCGTGTAGTACGGTAGTCACCGTGCAGAATGTTCAGACGGAAGCGACGAAGCTGTAACCAGACTAGTAGACGGTGAACAGAAAGTTATGAGCGGTGCGATGGCAGACACCGCCCGACAAGGATATCGTGTTCGGCTTAGGTCCTTGATCCGGATTTCTTACGATCGCAACCAAGACCGAAGCGAGAATGCCTCTCTCGTTGACGCAAAGTAGCATGCCGTCGACGTCAAGGCACATAACGTACTCGTAGTCTTGATCCACATTGGCTTGCCATGTGTGTCGATGATCTCATGACAAACACGAGACGCTTCTTTGAGTCGAAGAAAACTTTGGAGCAGTAGGAAGCCATCGTCCTCGTTGCCTTCAGTATCTACCAGTTTCATAAGCTCAAAAAGCCCTCCCAGCAATTTCACGTACAGGAACGCTGTGTCGACGTCAGACAATTCGACGTCGAGTCTTCGGCACCACACTAGTCGAGGCGAATTCAGGTAAGCCGCTTGTGCTTTACGATACTAGCAAGGATATCAATAAGTTTGCTTTACCGTCTTAATTGATAGCTACAATATGCATAATGGTGACGACAGAAAAAAAGTACAAGAGCGTCTATGACTGCTGGATAAAAGTCCATACTGGGCAGCATTGCTCAGCTAATGATCACTATACAGTACTAATTCTGAATTTCTACTACTAAGCGCTAAGTAAGACGATTCCGTTATCTAGAATTATCCTACAAAGAGAATTGTCTGTATCAAGTCGCTTGACGTTTGCATTGCTTTGTTGTGGTCTCTACGCTACGAGCATTATCTAAAATCACAATGACTTTCTACATGTCTATCATTGCTAGAAGTCGATTCAGAGGAAGACGCAGATTAAAACTCAAATGGAAACACGGCATTTCGTTATAGAAAAAGAATAGTAGGTAGTTTCGCACCTTCTGAACCGACGAAGCGTTTCCCTAATTTTCTGCATAAAACCAAGTGATGAGGGAAGTTTTTTGTCGCAACATCAACAAACGTCCTTAATAACGTCCTACTGACAACGAATATTCTCCTAATTCAATTGTCTTTTTTGCCCGTTTGTGTCACTCATGTTGTAAGTATGTAGAGTCAGCTAATTGGGTCTTCCCTACCCCCGTACAGTTCCAAAATAATAATAATAATAATAATAATAGTCTCTGGCAATCATCAGTCTCGAAATCGCTCTCTTGTACACAAATAAATCGATCGATCGACTAAAATTCGACTAGGTGCATTATCTTTCCATGAGTTTTGCAATTAGCCGTGGCCCATTGGCTGTACCTGAAGAAAATGTGAGTACCATATTAGATGGAAATGCTACATTCTATACGGACGGTTTGAGTACACCACCTAGTTCACATGGGAAGAATAGTTCTGTCCATTTTGAAGAAGCGTCATATACATCGTCACCATCATCGAACGTGTTATCGTCACTAGGTGGAGGCATTCACGCTCTTGATGTGGAGTTGTCGACACCAAAGACACCTCAAGGACAGGAGGATGAAGTTCATAATCGAAGCGGCTTTTCGCTGCCTACATTGTCACAGGGTCTGACATATGATGGAGGCAGGAGTTATCAGCAATATGTCCAAGGTCAATTACAGCTGCCACCACTGTCACCTCATACGCGTAGTGCTGGAAAAGCTGGTAGTCGAGGTCAAGGGAACATGCCTACACGTAGCCAGACGCACGTGCAGCAACTGTCTAAGGAATCGGCCAGGGAATTGGCTAAGACAGCGATCAGTATGCGCTCGACTTCGATTGGGGACTTTACATTTGAGAACTTACATGAGGTTGTAGGTAGCTGTTTACGGGAGAGTATTCGACGCGTGACGGCCTATTCGAGACGAGAAGCTCCACTGGACACGGAACTTCATACGGTCGTAAGGGTCGGCCATCGAATGCGGAAAACCGAGCTGCGATTCGACCCGGAGACGATTGCATGGTCAAGAGGCGGAAAGGTGCTTGGTGAATTGTCGACGGATGATGTCGTAGGGGCGGAGATTATTGCTAAGAATAAGGCGAGTACGTTCCGGGTACACTACTTTAAGAAGGGCCATGGCACTGGAGCCAAGGCTTTGATGCGTACACCTCAGTACGTGGACTTTCACTGTTTGGAGACAGAGGTGATTGACAGTTGGGTCGGTGCCATCCAGGAACTTGTACGCTGGCAGGCTCGTGCACCGCCAATTGCAGAGAAACGGCGTTTAAAGGTAGTTGTGAACCCGCACTCGGGAAAACGACAGGCACGACGGATCTGGGAGGAAAAGGTGAAGCCGTTTCTAGATCTGGGCAACTTTGAGTGTATCGTGGAAGAAACGACACATTTTGGCCATGGAGCCGAGATGGGAAAAAGTTACTCGGCTGACGATGGATTTGAGGCTCTTGTCTTTATTGGAGGCGATGGCACTTTGTGCGAGTTTATGAACGGACTGCTGACTCGTCCGGAGCATGAATGGCGTGAAATTGTAGCATCGACACCGATCTCGCTGATTTCTGCGGGTACGCAAAATGCATTCGGGTTAGGAGCCGGTATCCCGACAGTGGATGCAGCGCTTTACTGTATCTTAAAGCGCAAAATGCGCCCGCTGGATGTCGTGACGGCTGTGTCTGCTGCCAACCCGGACGTGGTGCACTACAGCTACTGCGGCTTAGGCTGGGGCGTAGCAGGCGATATCGCGGCCGAGTCGGAACGCTATCGTTGGATGGGTACACTCCGATATGCTTTCCTGAAGGTGAAGCGCTCGGCTATTTTGCCCAAAAAGCACACTGGTCGAGTTCGGTACGTGCTGACAGAGCCACAGCCACCGCTACTTCGGTACGACGACTACCCAGATGCTGGTGCATTGGACCAGTTTGAAGTGGAAGAAGGCACTGTGTACGATACGGACCGTTTCAGCACACATCGCAAGTCCTGGGCCGGCATTGCCGGTAGCATTTCAAGTCCAGCGAGCCACAAGCGATATCCCGAGTTTTTGTGGAAGGAAGACTGCAGCAATTACGTGGTGGTGGGCGTTGTAAACATCGCGCCTGATGGTGCCTACTCGCACCCTTCGGATGGCAATATGGACCTAATACTTACCCGCAGGGGCAATATGAAGCGTACGATGAAGCTGTTTGGGTTGTATACTATGGGTAAGGAGCTACAGAGTGATTTGATTTCGTACTTGAAGGTCAAAGCCGTCGTGATTGAGCCTGATCATCCAACGGATTGCATGAACATTGATGGCGAAGTGCTGGAAGGTGGTCCCTGGCGTATGGAAGTGGTGCCAAGTCTTTTTAAAGTACTATCTGAGAAATAAGCTGAGTCGTCTGCGAAGAATGCCGTACTTTTAGTGACCAAGGGATATGTCACGATTTTTTTTTATCCTGCATGTAAGTTGTAAATATTGTTTTTTTTCATTCTCACAAGTTGAAGTAACTTGTAAGTGCACTATATATATATATATATGTACATCTACACCACATTCTCTTCGTCACCGTCTTGTGGTTAATTCATCTCGTCATCTTGATCACCTGTGAAAGAACTTGAGAACTTGACAATAGCACGACCAATGGCACCAATCCACTCGTCCTTGTGCTTCTCATTCTCTGCGTACATGTAGAAAGTCGAGTCTGGTGTCGCCACTTCGAAACAAAAACGTTTATTGGTCTTTTCCTCGGCCGATTTAACTGTCAAACAGTCCGCCAAATCGATGAGACCATGGGCAGGCTCACCCTGTGTACGACAAAAGTAAAGCTTGTTGCCCTTGAGCACAAAGTATCGCTTGCGCCACTCTTTCAGCCACACGCTGCGCTTGGTCAGCTCACCTTCAAAATCCGGGTCCGATAAATCGCAGTGCGAGTAGTCGCCCTCCATCGATCGATTCGATCGCCGTCTACTTTTGGAGCTGCTCGAGTCAGTTCGTGTTATTATATTCGCGAGGAAGGGATAAAGTTGACGTACGCTACATTGATTTACGTACGGCTACATCAAGTGTACCCAACTTGAAGTTTGCTGTCTCTTTGAAGTTGAACCACTCCATATACACCTAACGACCATTGGATAACAGCGCATGTTTATCTTAGACAACGCAAAAGGATGTTTTTTGTGCATTTGATGGTGCAAGGTACTCGTCGTGAGTTCCTCTTCGATTCTCCATGTGATGCCGTCTGGAGACAATGTTATGATAAGTTTAAAAGGTGCTTTTATTTGCAACAAATTGAACGAATTCAAGGTCTACAAGTTCTGACGGAAGTATCGTCTAGAATAAGCTTTACTTATAGCTTGATCGAGACCAGCTACTCTATCCCTTTCTACATGCAGTGATGACACTTTACTCCATGAGTGCTCGCTTGACCGTGACTTTGCCATTAGTTGGGGTGAAGTGGTTACGCTGAGAGCGACAACGGCTTTCTTAGTGTAGTGGACTGTGCCGGGTTCAGTGAGTGTGGTCTCGACTACATGCTTCCCTGCAACCATTTTAAAGTAAACAGCCATGGCCCGTCAATGGCGTTCTAGTACCTATTGACGGCCGTGCTTCTGCTGCTCAATGCCATTCTGCTCTGACGGAGAAGAATGATGCATAGTCACTCCTTCTCATAAATTAGAATTCTGGTTCCAATATGGCGCGTTCTGATTGCAAGAAGCCAACTTCGATGCTCTTCTGTCAAGCTTGACTCGTTCAACGCAAACAAGAAGCAACAAGTCTCGGCTTGAGCTCCTCGAGCGATTGATTTCATGAGATTTTCTCCTCCGTGGGATTTTCTTTGGTGACAGACCAGCAAACCCTCAACAATTTGACGGCTGATGTCTTTAACACCTGCTGATACTGGTTGCTGTATCTTCCTACCCGACGCAATTTTTTTGGGATCTCAAATCAGAGCGTATATAAAAGGACGGGACGGGCTCTTATGCACCTTCATGAAGGCACTGCACGACAGAACAATTTCTTTAGAAGTTGTATTGCATTACTGTATTGATTTACAAGCACCGAACAAGCTGGAAGCCTTCAGACGACCATCACTTTAAAAGGGATTGCCATGGAATCCGACCTGTCGCTATCTTGCAGAAATTAATGCCCCATGTCTAGTATACGATGTGGATATTGACTCTGTAATTTCTGCAATAGGTGGGTACTCTAAAATACATACCCTCTTGAATCCGTTTCATTGCTTTAATGTACGGGATAACTGATAGAGTGTTCGCGATACATAGTCCGAGACTGCTAGCGTTGGTGGCTGACTACTGTACTCGCACTCGGAATTCGACCTTGTTCTTTTTCAAATGCCCGCACTATCTCCGTGTCTTCTACGCTACTGCAAGGATGTCTACTGCGATGACATGGAAACGACCTGCAAAGTAGCCAGGCAAAGGGCATTTCGCTTAAGCTCAGTAAGGATGGTTGGTCGTGGTAAAAAGTAGTCACATTTTAGCATCAATGAGTTTTAAATTGGTCTTCTTATGGCAAATCGAGCCGTTTCTGCTCGATTCGTGTCGCGCGCCCTGTCGCCCAAGTTGCGAAGACGACATGCAGTGCATTTTAGGCCGCGAGGTGCACCCAGTATGAAGAATGCTGCATTTAATCATATGCATTGGCACTCTTTGCTTGCCCCGCTGATCAATATGTCGAGGCCATGGCAGTCAGTTACACCCAGAGAATCCGACCGGACCGGCCTTGGGTTCTATATTGTTATATATATTTTTCATGAAGATCACCCACAGAGGTGATGCACGAAAAAAATAAGACTCTTTGTCAAATTTATCCCACGAAGTTTCAGCCCAGTGGGAACGTGTACAAAACATATGACTTTGTGAAAAATAACTCAAGATCACCATGGACTTCCTTGGCGGTGGCACTTACCGAATCATCGGACCAGAGGTTCTTCATGTGCTTCGACTTCATTCGTTACAGTGGACTCGGTTTTGTCTGAAACAAACAGTCATTCTTTCATCGTCTCACCACGTTTCTACGTCACGAACTACAGAATGCTCACTCTCATAACCAACAGCCTTGCACTTAGTATGCGTCTAAACAACCTTTGTTGTGGATCTCAATCACCTCGAAAGTCCTAATTGCGGCTGCCACGAAAAGTCGTTTTTCCCATACCACGACATTTTTCAGCACAAACGATCCGTTAGCCGCCGTAACATAGCAACAGTTACCGGAATCTATAGGAACTATAGTTTTCAATAATAAAAAAATATGCGTCACACGAAGGAGCTGATTGTTTCTCTTACTCGGTGGACAAATACATTCCATGCTTCTTTTCCACTCGCGTCAGCTTCAACAACCAAATAGGTACACCTTTTGGTTGTCGGATGCGACCGGTGGTCGTGTATCCGGCCCCGTTTATCACTTTACACAGGGAAAAAAGCCCCGGAATTCGGTTGGCTTCGTCTCTTAACCTCTTCATAAGAGACGGCAGTAGTAGCAAACGTGCAGTCTGAAGAACAACCAACCAGTCGCCACCCAGTAGCGTCGGTAAGCGATGGGCCACCCCGTGTCTCATCCTTTTAATACATAACGAGATCTGCTTGTTTATTTCACGCACTCTTAGCGTCCAGAAAAAAAAACAAGAATACAAGTTCAAGAGACTGCCTTTAACAAGTGTTGTAGCCATGACGACGAGCATCAGCTCCACGGCTATGACAACGACCTCACCAGTAACAACAACAACAACGACAACAACAACAACGACACCTGCAACAATAGTAGCCCCTCTTTCTACTACCGGTACTACGAACAGTAATCTGGACGACAACATCCAACCTACTACTGTTCATACTAAAGGTACTAGTCCTCTACGGCGTCTACCGCCGGTCCTACGGGACCCTAGTGGATCTACCAGTATTTCAACCGGTGCCACAACCACAACCACAGTATCCAATGCGTTGGGTCCAAGTACAACCGGTAACCGGGTCTTGACGGTAATGGACCGCCGTCATTTGTACCCATCGCAACCACTTACAAGACTCTATAATGGAGGAGCGACATCCTCCCCATCTATGCACATGCCGCCGCAATACTTTGACACTATAGAGAGTGGTCGGGTCACGGTCCGACCGTCGTCCTACAACCACAACCACCTCTCTCCAGTATCCTCACCAGCTATGGCTGGTGAATCCTGGGCACAAAATGCCTCTATTGGAAGTGGTGTAGCCACACGTGGGCTTAAACGTCATTTGCCACAGCAATATGACGGAGTTCTATATGATGGTTTTGGCAGAGTACCAGGGACACGACTACCGCAGCAAAAAGCTGATAGTTCCACTGGTACACGATCGACGACCATGTCTCATCGAGGACCTAGTAGTCTTCACGGCACAAAAAGTCTTGTCAACAGTAACAACAGTAGCAATACACCACGTCTTCGGCCAGTGCCGATGATGTACGGAGCACCACCGAGTGAAGATCCAATGCAATACGAGCCATTGGGTGAAGCACGTCATCCACGAGACAGCACCAGATACGAGACATGGACGTCGAAGCAACTCCGTAAAAAATGCTCACATTTGAAACTACGGGGCCTGAAAAATGTCAAGAAGCACGTGATGGTGGAAGCATTGTACCGTTATTATCGGAATCAACGTCTTAAAGACATGGCGGACGCTGCCAGTGCTGATAACAGCAGCAATCACGGTGGTGTGGCTTTGCGACAACAGATTTTGTCACCGCAGCAGCAACAACGACGGATGGAAGTGCGACGACCATCAAATATCAGTGGAAGTTCAATGGTGGACTCCCACTCAGATATGCAGTACCATTCGCGGTTTGACCAGCGTAATGCTGGCTCACAGTCACAGTCACAATACAGCTCCTCGCGTTCCCGCAGCTATGCCAACTATGGCAGCCAGAGCCCGTCGCCCCCGTCAAGCGGTGAAGATAGTGGTGGCTCGCGTCCCCAGCGAGCTGGCACCTCCAAGCCATCAACTAGTGGCTACTATCTCGATGATGAATCGAAGGCAGAAGCACAATACAAGGAAGTGCCGGTGACGTCTGAAGACGTGATTCGTCTGGTGGATGTGGTACTGTCGCCTGAATTTGTTGACCGATTGGCAGCTGAACTATCGCGCTGGCAATTCTGGGTAGACGTGCGCGAGATGTACATTGCGCTGCTTAGTCGCCAGCATCCACCCGGATCAGCAGGTGCAAGTGGTGAAGCAGGCACCGGAGGCAGTGCTACAAATTCACGTAATTTCAAGTGGAGTAGCATGCAGCTGTGGGAGATCTGGAAAGAGCTGACGTTTGCGTACACGAAGACGTGCTTCGAGTTCACCACTGCTGGTATGGACAAGAGTGAGCATAATATGCATATCGTTTCAACTGCTGGGGGTCGAAGCTTTCTCGTTGTCGAAATTGCGTTACGAGCAGCAAGGAGTGGAAACCCCATTATGAGATGCGACAATAACGGCAATGTGCATGAAACGCATGTACTAACTCATTGTTTATCGTCTCTTTGTGATTTTTGTAGGGGTGGAAGATCGAGACTACATTAACTTTTGTGATGGCAGACCAGACGTATACTATCTGCACCAGCGACTGCACGCTAGGCCAGATCTGTTGCATCTGATCAAGTCCAATGAGTACATTGACGAGAAGTGCACCAGCGATGCGTCCGAGTCCATTGCACACGAACAGCAGCAAGCCCAGCAAAAGCAACAGACTGGACCTTTGATCGGATCGGCTGGTCCAATGATGCGCAATCACAAGCGCTACAAACGATCAAACCCGACTGGTCCTCCATCCGATGCCTACAACAGCGCACGCGCCATCGCAGCCTTCCGTGACGGCGCGGCGGGGGCCAATGAAACCCGTGCAGCCGATGGAGGAAACAATGGAGACAACGGGTGTGGTCAAGGCAGTGGTGACTCACGCGGTCACTCGCCAGAGGAGAATAGTACGGAGAATTCGGAAACGACGGGTGAAGAAGGCAGCAGTAGCAACACAGCCAACTCGAACGCGAGCAACAACAGCTCGCAGGACGTGTCGATGCGTGCTGCTTTAGCTGAGCAGAAATACTTTGGCCTACTGCTGCAGAACTTTGAGGTGATTTTTGAGTCTTTGCACAACAAGAAGGTGCTGTTGGCAACGCTACGGAAAGACAGCAAAGCTCCGGACCACCTGATCGCTGACCTGCATGACGATATCCACGTATTGTCGGCGCTCAAGAAGGAGTTTCGAAACAAGTTGCGACGCACGATGCAGTGAGACACGGACGATTTGGCAGGTGCAACTCAACTGTTGTGATACACTTGCTTTTTTTCTAGCGAAGGGGAGTCGGGGGTAGCTGAAATGCGAGTGTCTGTAGATAACGCTGTGCCGTAAGTGTGCAGTGAGCAGGAGAGGAGGCCTTGAATGAAGGCAGAGGTGTTGAAACGTAGTAAACTAACTAACAAAAGCATGATTTAAGCCGTAAAATGATAGCTAGAGTTTGAATGTACATGGAATGAATGCCTTCATACACCGTTTCTTGTCTCTGCATCCCGTGCAAACGTAACGTGCGACCTGTTGCATGTTGACACTTGAAGTCAACAAGGTTTCTAATCACTTGCGTTGGTAGTAAGCCCTGCTACAAAGCACAATTTGCCCCAACTGTACGAGTTATTGCACGTCCAGCAAACTTTTTTCCAGCGTACTTGTCATGACTTATGATGCATTCACAAGACACGACTACTAGGTCCATAATGAAAGACAAAGTGCTATCCTCAAGCATTCCAGAGCAGTCACGTGTACCCATCGACGAGACTTTTACTGCTATCAACACTCACTGCTTCAGCTTCCTTCTCTTCTTCTGCTATTCCGGTTGAAACATGTATAACAATAAAAAGGTACACTCGAGAAATGGGCCACAGTGTCCTTTGCAAAAGAATGTTTTCAATAACTACAAAAGGGTCCTTTCAATCCTTTCATTCATGACCAAAGAGATGGTCTCAGCAACGTATTCACGCTCAAGCCAACTACAGCATATCGAGACACCTGATCCATGTGCCAATATGCTTACAAACCGAGCTTGGTACGGCGCCAGTGACGACGCTTGGCATTGTACCTTTAAACAATAATACCACCAGAACAAGAATATTCCATGTCAGAAATCTAATCTCCTATATAAGAATAATTGTAGCACTTGAACACGTACTTGATCGTATTGTCAGTACGAAGGCGAATCCATTGTGGAATCGGACGATTTTGCTTGGCCTTCTTGGCCAGGATACGCTTGGTACGGAAAGTCTTGTGCGATGGCTAGAAAAAATATAACTAGTTAGAGAGATTTACATCCAACCCCACCAACTTTTACGCATTTGTATGTTTTCAAGAGCTTTCAAAGCGAATCGGATCGTGATAAAAGATTGAGGCAATGCACAGCTTAATACAGAGCTCAAAACTATTTGCACCACTTTGTAATTCGTCTTCATTGACGACTTAATCCCATTCAAACGCGACCATAGACAGTAAAAAACGCACCATTTGAAAAGGAAGTTATTCGGACTGACACACTATTACAACAACCCAGAGACTCTCGAGCTGTCAGCCAGCCAATTTATGGGGAGAGTAATTACGCGATCGTAAAAAAAAGAGGACCAAGTCATTTGGGACAGTGTGGTACACATCGTACTCGCGTTTCTCAAATTGCAAAAAATTAGAAATGGGTACACTATCACCTGCACGCACGTAAAAAAATCCACACGCAAAAAGTGTATCCACTCATTCCTCAATAAAACAATTTGTACCCATGGAATCGGATACTGACGATCATTCAAATGTAGCTGCGTGTATGATCGCATATCAAGGTCCACTTGCATTGAATCAATCAATAGATGACACTACGAACTCGACCTTTTCAATATCGTCATCACCGGTTCAATCTCCATTGCATTCGATGCATGAACCTCATATCAACACGATTGTCGATATCTCATCGGTAGAGTCGACATCGTCAATAAAATCAGCTCTTTCAACGCCAAATCGTCCATTCAAGCATCAAACCATCACGAAACGTGTTTCAATTGAACATCCTGAGATCGGTTTAAGCCCGGATGAAGAGACTCAAAGGACGTCACAACCTTCAGTCGATTCAGCCGTGAAGTTACGGGGTCATCGGACACGAACGGACCATAGCAAAACATCAACTCAAAGCTCTTTTGCTGTCCGGGACTCGGTACTATCCCGTGTATCGTCCAATGTCGGTGGTCTAAGAGAGAGTTTCTTTGGGGTTATTGGACGAGGTCCTCTAGTAAATGACCCACTCGAACTTTCATCCGATCAAGAGTTTAACCTCGATGTCATTGATGAAAGTGGTGGCATGGGGAACACCATTGGTGAGATCTTGAAACCTCAGGTGAACTTTCGAAATTGGTCCACTGAAGGCTATACGGTACTTGGTATCGGCCTTGTTTTGCTGCTACTAATGTTTGGGTTGACAGAGCTCACGGACTCTCTCAATGGCTATACTATCGACCCTGGTCTCGTATTTGGATCACTGGTTACTCTCATCCTTTGTTTCGGCGTCTTTGTGACGTATCATGGTGTCCAGAGTTTTCAGACGCATCCAAACCCTCTCATTTACTACAAGTGTATCATTGACATTTGTCTAGCACTTCGGTTCCTATTGGACCCATTGCTATTGGAATTGGGAGTCTACAGAGCAAACGACGAGGCCTCGTGTGCTTATCTCTCAGGCATCACGCAATTTTTATATCTGTCCAGCGATTCCTGGTACTTTGCGCTAATTTTCGACTTGTACTGGTCGCTCACGAATCCATTTATGAGTGTTAAGGCCAATCGAAGAAGGTGCAAAATCTTGGTGTACTCGACTGGAGTGTTTACGGGTATTTTAGCGGCCTTTGTGCCGAGTATTCGTGGCTTTGCCGATGGAAATTACTGCTGGACAAAGCGGAAAACCATAAATGATCCCGTTCAACGAAACTTTTTCCACCTGAATAAGGGCAGTTGGCTACTGTTCTATACGTGGATGATCTTGTTTTACATTTCGGGCATTGCAGTACTGACGTTCGGTGTCAAGCGACTCCGTTCGGGGCTGCGGGATACACTACAAAGTCGACGCGAGATGCTACGGAACGGCACGCTATCGATTACGAGTTATACCATTTACTGGACTGTCGTGTTCATTTGGTACGCTGCGTCATTTCAGACGCGCACGACATACGACAAGAACGGCCACATTTCGCCGAGTCATGTTTTCCGAGGGTTTTCGTTCACGCTAACGGCTCGTGGTGCTGTTGACTATTTTGTGTGGTTCATGATTAACAAGCCGAGTCTAATACGAGCAAATTGGCTCAAGTTCACGTCCGATTCAGCGGACAAGCAATTCAGCGCGCAGCTCAATACTGCACTGCAGGAGGAACTGATTTACTTTACCATAGAGGGAATGACACGTGCTGTAAAAACCGCCGAAGAGGACCTTATTCGCATACGCGAGCGGTCTCCGACACAGGAACTTGTGTTGGGTGCGAGTGACAGTGACGATGACGGGAAGTCGACACAGAGTCTCGCTGAAGCTGCAACAACCGCTACAGGTCCCATCGGATCGGAAAGTAGCAGCAATTTGTTTCGCAATGGGCCGGGAAACCGAATGCTCTACACCATACAGGAGGTTATTAACGCTGGGCTTCGTCGGAATAGCAGTGCTGATGCAGAAACACGAGCTGTGAAGAAGAAAAACAGCAAGGAAGGTGACTTTAGTTTTGATATTCCTGCAGATCAGCGCTCGATACAACAGCCATGTAATGTCAAGCGTCGTACTTCGAATCCTTCGTCTGCTTCAACGGCTGCAACATCAGTAGACCCACGATCGCAATTCCCAGTTGCAGACACGACGGCAGCGTCTATTCGGTTCACGCCGTATAAGCCGCAGGCTTTCGCTGAGCTTCGTCAAGCTTATGGAATCAAGGCAGTCGATTTCATGAAATCTTTCCAAACCAGTACGAAGCCCAACATCAGTGAAGGCGCAAGTGGTGCGTTCATGTTTTTCAGTGGTGACAAGAAGTATATTGTGAAATCTATGGCTGAAGAAGAAGCACGCTTCCTATGTGAGATCGCTGAAAAGTACGTAGAGTATCTGACGCTGAAGCCGTCGTCGCTCATTACAAAGTTTTATGGGTGTTTCAAGATTACCATGTACGACAAGCGTTTCTACTTTATCGTTATGGAAAACCTCTTTGATGCAATGGAAGAAGGCGTGCAGATCCACCACCGGTTTGATATCAAAGGTTCGTGGGTGAACCGAAGCTACAAGCGCCCACGGTTAGGAGCCAAGGTCAAGTGCCGGCACTGTTCAATGATGTTTAAGTATGGCGCAAAGAAGAGGTTGCTACAGTGCTCCAATGTTGTCGGACTTCACGAGCCGAATGTGGTGTTGAAAGACAATGATTTGCGCACAAGAATGCGAATCGGTACAAAAGAAGGTGTCGAGCTGTATGAGCAGTTGCGTGATGACTCCTTATTTCTCTGCAAGCATGGAATTATGGACTACAGTTTGCTCCTGGGGGTCATGGACATTGAATTTGCCGTGGACCAACCACCGATAAAGTCGACCTTTAGTCAGTACACGGTTGCAAACCCGATGACTAATAGGGCGACCAACTTGTCGACCACTAGTGTTACGACCGACAGTTTGGTCTCGTCTACGAATTGGTCGTTGAAAAGTTCGACAAGTGAATTGTCGAGTCACCCTGACAACGACAATGAATCAATGGCAAATGGTTTCAACCCCCTGGGTACAACAAGTATTGGACCGAGTGTGCATTCCTTATTTCAAGAGCTTCCAAGCACTTTAAACCAGTCACGAGATTTCTTTTCCACTGAAGCACCTCGACGAAAGCGTGCAATGCGAAAAAGTCAACGGGTGTTTGGACCCGGGTACTATTACGTTGGTATTATTGATATTCTACAGACATGGACACTACAAAAGAAGTTGGAACGGTTTTGGAAAGTCAAGATCAATCAAAAGGACGGAGAAGGGCTCTCAGCTATTGATCCAGTACGCTACCAACGTCGATTTGAAGCGAAGTTGCGTGAAATCATTGCGATTCCAACGGAATTTTATCATTTCGAACCACGGAATGTTCGAAAGGAAGCACTGATTTTTGAATCCATGCAACGTCTTAGTCCCGTCTTGCAAGCAGCTGCAGCATTTGAAAAGGCGGCAGCTGCACAAAACGTTCGACGGAAATTAGCTCGTGGTCGAGGAAATTCGACAGAGACGACTGGTTCATTGAATCCTGTGGATGACGGGGATTCCTTCGAACAAACGGGTCGAAATCCCCAACCGATTTTACTCCCGTTTAATCAACGTTTAATCACGAAAACGAGTCAATTGAGTTTGACCGATTTTACAGGATAAAGTAATAACATAGAGGTATAATAAAAAACACTAGAAGAAAAAAATGACTACAATATGTATAAACAGCCAGTTCCTACAGTCCCAAAGTCTATCGAGATAGATTATACCAACCTAAGTAACATCGTGTATGTTACATACATGAGATGGCGCCTGGTATTTTTTTTATGTAGGTCGGGCACCTCTCTCCCTCTTCTACCATCTGGTGAAAAGGGTCCGTCTCTAAATGGTCTTTTTTTTCTTCCACGACTCTAAAACCTGTTTTTTTTTGTCAACATCCGGTAGTAAAAAGAAATAAAAACATGACAAAAGACAATCGAATACCAATTCAACCGACAGACTCTAAAGACGACCATACTAAATAATAATACTACTACTACTAAATAAATAAATAATACGACAAAAGCAGATGCAATTGACTAATTCCGTCATGACCAAACAACCTGAGCATGCCAGTGACAATGTCTTCCCTCCTCGACGTCGAGGACTTTCACGAACGCGTCAATTATCCGTCTCGACGATATCAATGGAAAAAATAACGCGTCGAAAACGGAAAGTAACGTTTAAAAACATGTACACGCCTGATGTGGTCCCACCGTCAAAAGTTACGAGTTATGATGAACTTGTGTTTAATGTTGCGGGTTTATTTCATACCATGTCATTTTTACATGATCCGGAGGACTGGGGGGAAGAATTAACGGCAAGTTTTTCCTCGGAGGATGAGTTTTATGATCCTGAACCACCGCTGGAACGGTCCATTCCTCTTATGATTGCAGAATTTTTGTACCGATCGGCCATGTTTCTAGGACATCCACAAGGTGATACTCCATGGTTACCGGGGTTTCGAGAAGACAAGAAATTTTCAAGTAATGACGTGAAACGGTGGCGACGATTGGCACATTTTGATTGGGAAGCCGAAGAACAAGAGTTTTTTAAAAACCATCCACCAAGATTGACACGGACTCAGTCAGTTGAATCAAATGGACATACGTCCGTCATATCGACCATTGGAGCGAGCTTTCGAATGCAAAATCAACAAGATAGTGTCGATTCGGATTCAAGCAGTCGTAGTCAAGATAGTCAAGTGTCGGGAAAGATGAAACTTCGAAGTGCGGTAACTGGGTGGATTCGCAAACACAAACGGCAGCAGGATCACGAACAGCAGCATCTGAACGATGCAGTGGAACAAGAGACTGAAGTTGCAATAGAAAGCGTCGAGGAACCGAATCAACATAGTGTTCGCAAACCCGTGTCGTGGCTGAATCCGCCACCAATCTCGTCATCTCGAAGCTTACGACTGCTCGTTGACATTGTCAACTCGTGCGTGTACTGTGGACAGTTCAAGTTTCGAAAGCGTGACATTATACGTCTTTGCAATGTCAAGATTTGAATACGAGAGCTCTGCTGCACAAAAACACGGAGCGACTTCATCCGTTTTATTGCATTGCACTCCTGACGAAAGAAGACAGGAGAGAGCAAGGCTACATAGTAGCAAAGAGAATAGTTTAACAGTCCATTCGTGGCCAAACACAATGTTTTGTCCGTATTGCAGTAGCTTTGAACTCGTTTGTATTTTGTGTCTCTCATAGCTGTTTTTTCAGTTAATTGTCTTATACCCATCTGAATAAAAAAATCTGCTAGCGTCTCAGGCTACTTAAATCCAACCGTCCTCTTCCACAATAAACTCGAGTCGTACCAAGTCATTTACCTCATCAGGTGTAAACTGCACCTCACCAAAGTTGACACAGCAATTGATCACGTCGCATAGCTTGGCAAATTTCATATTAGATGGCACTTCCAATTCCTCGTCCTCGTCCCCCTCCATTTCAGGCTCTTCCTCAACCACACTCGCACTCAGAGATCGGTGAAGTATCGCACTGTGCAGTCTCCGACGTCCTCTCGAATGCTGACTGTCACTATCACTATCAGTGCTCTCCGTCGCGACAGAATTATTGCGCGGCGCTTCAACATCTTTTCCCTTTACTCCCAGTGCAGCAGCAGCCTCCGTCGTTGTCACCTCCTCCAATGTCCAGTCATGCAAAGCCAATCGGCGCCACATACGGATCTCTCCGTTCGAGATGTTGACAACATTACCGTGTTTAGTGCGCGTGCAGTGAAGAAAAGCCATAGAGCGTTCAAGAAACTCCTGTACCTTCGTCGTAGTTGGCCGTTGATCATGAGCTGCAAACTTACAAACACGCACTAGCACATCATCGTAGCTCTCCAGTGCCGTGTACGCACCCGGAGCACCGTCATTTGCATTCGATGCAATAATTGTAGGTTTTGAACCAAACCGTGTACGTTTCGCAACTCCAGGTGCCAACACCTCATCAACAGGAACTGGAGAGAATTCCTTTGAACTCGAAAGCGAACGACGATGCAATTCTGCAGCTTTGGCCTTTTGAGCTGCTAATGCAAACTTCCTTGCCTCGGAACTCCGTGAAAAGCTCGTCCGATCCTTCTGTAAATCCAAATCAACATTACCACGTCCACCAATAAGACGTGCTTGGATTGGTAATTTACGCCAGATTTTCGCAATAAGGTGCGTTGGTGCTTGTTCCATAAAGTCCATACTATTAGACCGTCGTCCAAGTCCCTGTGTTGGTCGTTTTGTGTCTTCATAGTCATCATCACTGTCCGAGTCCCACGTAGAAGCATGAGGTCTCATTTCTGTAGAGAATTTGGCGTCCAGTCTCTCCATCTCTTCCATCTCTTTCTTCGCTTTTCTAGAAGAAGAAAACGACAATGACATGCCTCGTTCTTTCTTTCCCCTTATCTTCTTGGGTGACAGGATAGCTGAACCGGAATGTACTGTGTTACTTGGTGCTGTAAGGTTCGATAAAGAGCTTGAACTTGATTGATACGAGCTTGAAACTGTCTTCATTGAACTGAAACTTGTGAGATTGCGACTAACTGCACAGACTTGATTCTTATGTCCCTGACGATAGATACCACCCCCTCCAGAAGATAAGGAACTAGTGGTCATAGTACCATGAACTCCACTGTTTCGAAGCGTCCGATTGCCCATACAAAAAGGTCGTTCTTCACTAACACATCTAGTCCCAAGTTTCGGTGGTTGGGATGGTAATTCAAATGATGTGGACGAGAATGACGACGTATTACCAGTGGATTGGACGGATGGACAACGAGATGACTTGGTACTCGTTACTTTGTTGCTACTTTTACCAAATAAACTGCTACGAAGAGGTGTCGAATGAAGAGCATTATTCAGTGTTTGGGTCAGTGAAGAACGGGGTCCTTTGTCACTCTCTTCAGATGATTTATTGGCCTTGGGTGTCGCTGCTGTAGCCCCATAGGGAAGAGACATTACAATGGGAGGTGTAGGCTCCAAAGGTGCTCGATGTTTGTCTTTCCAACCCGAAAAGGAAAAACTAGAACGACTTTCTTTTGTCTTGGTAGCTTTGTCTCGAGCAATGGCGTGACCTTCAGTTCTTATAGCAGTGTCCAAACTAGTTGCACTCATGCGACTTGCACGGGATAAACTCCCGCTGCGACTTGAGCTCGGGAAGATTTTTTTAATACCCGAGTATATGTCTTTTGCTTGTTGTGACATGGTTATATGAATGCCTTCCCCCCTCTATGAATGTTGAGAAAACAAAGTAGGGGATACGTACGATAAAGGTAGGGTCGCACGAGTATACAAAAATCAAGTAAAATCGCCACGAGATGGCTGATTTAAAGGCTGACGGTGGCTCGGGGTTTCCTTTCACCGTCTCTCTGCCTCTTGAGATGTGGATGAGATTTCCCAGCGCACAAAAGGGAGCAACTCAGTTTGTGACCGGGTGAGTACATTGGACAGGTTCGTTGCCAAAACCAGGTGAGGTTATACACTTTCGTTTTATTAAAAAAGTATCAAAAGAGGGTACAAAATAGTATACATTTACCATTGCTGCCTTCTTTCATCACTCACCGTGTTTTAAACAGATGGAATAAGGGACAGGTGAGAAGGCCAGCTTGTCTTATCCTGGCTCTTTCACCAATTGCACGTCGCTTACGCTTCGTGGTACCTCATCGGCTGATTGGCGGAGCGTTCATGAGCTCCAAAGACGTTCACATCTGACCCCAATCGTGGAAAAATTACTGATTATTAAGACCTTATGAAGCTCTAAAAAGTCGATTTTTCTATCAGGAACTTTTTAATCGCGACATTATTTTGTTGTCGTTTCGCAGAACGCGTAACGGTCGCGACGCTTGACTCGAACAGATGGAAAGATACTGACTGTTTCCATCCTTTGTTTTGTATTGCAATCGATTAGTAGACACTGACTCTTATGCGAGCTTGAAGCGTCGCACATTGAGATGGCTGCTTTTTTTGGATTTGTCGTTCGTTGATCGCCTGTTGTCTCAGAATGCACCCACGCGTTCTAATGGCGTTGACGTCGAATGTACAAGGTGAAGAAAAACTCTCGTAAGACGTCGTAGGTGGCAGGAGAGAGGGATTGGAACGTATTTGTTATTGGAATTGATGTAGCATTACTATTGAATATGGTACACTTGTTCTCTTCATGTCGTGATATGCACTATAAGGTGCTGGCATGACTTGATGGAATTAAAAGCTAAGAAGAGGTCAAGGAATGGCTTTGTGGTCGTGTCTCTTATTTTACAACCACATGCTTTACACGTCGCTTATAACGTTGCCAGCACATGCCGCAAAGATGTGAGACTGAGGAACTTTTTTAGCATCTTCCTACATGGGTACTGTCTCTATTCCTGCCTCCTTGATCATGAATGCTGTATTCACTACGCGGTTGAAGAGTAAGGGACAAGTTAGACGCGTAAACGAAAGGTCTTGAAGCTATAGCGACTTGTGTGACCTCGATACGACGTGATCATTCTACCCCTAAAAGCACGGTTCATACAAGCTCGTCCCATCTGCACGATACTTGATACGAATCCTCAAGACCGCGTACCTACCTACCTACATATACGACACAACCCATTCCAATCGAACGCTATCGACACATTGGAGAAAAATGCCTCTTGTTATTATGGCATAGGAAAATCACTGGCGTCCCCAAATACCTGTCCGAAAGCATCTTAATTTGCTACCACAGTAGATATCTGTCATGTCTCTTTCCATCAGTCAAGAGACCAACCGAGATGCAGCAAGCTACCAATCCTGAACAGCTTCAGCTAGTACCGTAACCTCAGAACAGTTTACGTACGTTTCGGAGCGAAACGACGTGGGGGCGGAGCACGGCTTTTACGGGCCTCAACCGAACGACCACGTACGATGCGCTGGTGGATAGCGGCTTCCACGCAATAGTAGTTCTTAATGTAAATCTTGGGCAGAGCATACGACTCGTAGACAGAGGACTCCTTCAGATCACGGATAGCCGATTGGTCTACAATGTTGCTACATATAGATGATAACGACGTTCAGAACCCAATCAAACGTTTTTTTTCATTTTCAAGACACGACTGGCGTTATTTTCGCGTGATGACGTACCGAACAACAAAGCGTTTGATGGCCTTATCCTTAGGAATCAGTTTCGCCGTAGACACACAGTGTACACGCTTGACATGGCCACGGCCTTTCTTGTTACGTCCATGGTTGCGGCGCTTTACAGTCATGATTCCTTGGTTCTTTTCTCCAAATTGATTTGAGTTTATTTCGTCCAAAGGATCACGCTTGTGAAGCGCTGGCTGCCACCAACTTGTTCCGATAGATGATTGGATGTTTATTAACGAATCAGATGCGAGATGTCGAGATACTCTACTGTCACTCTCGAGAGGGAATGAGGAAGGACCGACTGACTGACTATATGTAGCTGCTGCTATCATAGCAATGATAACTGAATTGAGCGTAAACTAAGAGATAAAAGGCATGGAAACCCATTGAGAATTGTTATTTTTTCTGTTGCTGGATAGGTAGGAAGGTAGTAAAAGTCGTATTGTCCTTGAAAAACTAACTAGCAGTCCCAAGGCAATACTTTTGTGTACCTCTTTCATCAGTGCGCACGCACGCACTGGCACATCTGTGACTCAACAGAGTCATCCAGCCAATTTGATTGATTCCACATGCAGTAGATGACCATGTGTTACTTCAAGTGCTTCATGATCTGAGGGACGGACTGCAATGATACCCACATACAACAACATCATCATTAGACATACGCTCCTTCTCGCAACTTAACCCTAGTCTCTACACAATACGTACACATTTGTCAATACAATGCAAGAAGTCAAAGTACTGGCCGTCACACGCGCCAACGCCTTTGCTCTTGACACGGTCCACACACGCTCGATAGGCACGGAACGACTGCTCACACTTGGGCTCGCATGCCTTGCGAATCGCAGGCATCACATCGACAGGCTCTTCATTAGACTGTTTCATACATGAATCCCATGAACATATTAGCCATATCACCTTGTACACATACTCAGTAGTATACATAAGGTACACACCATTTTTCAACAACGTTCAAAGAGAAGTCTAATTGGGGACAAGCAACAAAATGGGTCTCTCTCTCTCCGCCGCAAGTTTTTACACAAATGGTACATGGTACCATATCTATACGGGTACCATGTACCGTTCGTGTATTCTGGTATCATGTACCATTCGTGTATACTGGTATCATGTACCATTTGTGTATACTAGTATCATGTACCATTTGTGTATACTGGTACCATGTACCATTCTTGTCTATAGAGGCCCTTATAACCGCACGTTTGTTCGTGGTGGTCCGTCTAGCAAGTAAAGTAACATCTCTTCCCCATGCTCTCTCGCACTGTGCGCGCTCTCCGCGCCAGCGCTACTCAATTCAATGCACGTCCATTCCTTGCTGCCAGTAGCTTTCACTCGTCTCGTACCATTGGCAGCAGTTTCGTACAGGTACAGACACCGAATACTTTTGAGTTGATATATACCCTGAATAGCCGTCTGAAGTAACGCTAAGAAACCCTTATATAACACTACTAACAACCCCTTATATAACACTTGCATAGCACCGTGATACCGAGGACAACAACCCCGATACACCATTTGACTTTACACCCGAGAATTATGAGCGGGTGCATGCAATTCTGGACCGATATCCAGAGAACTACAAGACGTCGGCTATTATTCCACTACTGGATTTGGCACAGCGTCAGCACGGTGGTTGGCTACCACTTGCTGCTATGAATAAAGTGGCACGTATTGTGGACGCGAAACCCATTCAAGTTTACGAAGTGGCTACATTTTACACTATGTTTAACCGTGAAAAAGTGGGCAAGTACTTTATTCAGTTGTGTGGCACGACACCCTGTATGATCTGTGGCTCGGAGGAGATTAAGAAGACTATTGAGGACCATTTGGGCATCAAGGAAGGAGGTGGGTGAGCTTTGGAAACAGAGATATACTCAGGAACTTAGTTTATTGTATCGTGATTGCTGACAGATTCGACGGAGGATGGCAAGTTTACACTGCGGGAGGTCGAGTGCCTCGGTGCGTGCGCTAACGCTCCTATGGTGCAGATTAATGACGATTTCTACGTGAGTCATGGCAGTAGTTGGCAGACTATAAGATGATGGAGGTACTGAGGTTTGTGTTGATTGGAGTAGGAAAACTTGACTCCTGAGACGACACGTGAGCTGTTAGACGCTTGCAAAAAGGATATGCCACCTCCGATGAACAAGTGGTGCAGCTTGCCCATGAATGGACAGCTGTCGTGTGAAGGCCCACAAGGCAAGACCACGCTGAAGTGGGACAAGGTGCCCGGACCGGGATTCCGGATGCGTCCGGACGATGAGCTCAAGCCAAAGGTGAACCCCAAGGACATCAAAGACGCCATGTTGTATTAGACAGCTAGAGGTTGCGACTTTGGGATAAGTAGCTGGTTGGATGAGGTGGACATTGCCCACGACGAAGCCGTTGCGATTTCAACACATTGAGGCATCCATTTCGATCATTCTTGCTGGCTCTGTGACAAATGAAGGACCTTCAAGTCTCACACAATAACAGAGAAATAATAAACTGTGACAATGATGATCAAGCCGGCTGGTAGAGCCTATAACGGATCAAATGCAGCTGACAGCAAGTTGAGCTTCTTGCCCCGAAAACATCTTGTAATGTGATCGCCTTCGGATCAAAATTAGTGTCAATCAAGGATCTTTACGACCTTTCAGTATTAAATATTACAGGTTTATCTCTCGCTTCATTCATTGGTTAAAAACCTCTTTATAATCTCCGTGTCATATAACACGATGGCTGGGATCAATAACCGCGATCGGAAGCGGAGACGTTCAAGGTCGTCCTCTCGCTCACGCTCCCACCATCGTCACCACTACGATCCACCATCTTCTTCACTTGCGTCTTCTCTTCATCCTGGACAATTTCCGTCCAAATCTGACGTCTCTAGCACTCAGGAGATGAAATCTACGCTGGACACTCCTCTACCTGCTCTAGCGCATCGTGAGGAGTTATTAAGCGCTCTAGTAGCTCACCAAGTAGTCATATGTGTAGGAGAAACTGGATCTGGAAAGACTACGCAAATTCCACAATTTCTAGACGCCTGTGGAGCTTATACCGATGCCAAACGTGATCCAGGTGGGATATCTCATTGTGTAGCCATTACACAACCCAGACGAGTCGCTACAGTGTCTGTGGCTCAACGAGTGGCCGAGGAAATGAATACAAGAGTCGGAGGTGATGGTTTTGTAGGTTACTCCATTCGATTCGAGTCACGGTGCAGTGACCACACAAGACTCAAGTTTCTGACGGACGGAGTGCTGGTTCGAGAGTGTTTGAACGACCCCTTGCTCCAAAAATACAGTGTCGTGATGCTGGATGAAGCTCATGAACGCAGTATTCATACAGACTTACTCTTTGGTCTGTTAAAACAAGTAATGCAACGACGACCAGAGTTTCGGGTGCTCATCACGTCTGCAACGTTGGATGCCGACAGGTTTGCCGAGTTTTTTGGCCACACAACATCAAGTGGAGACAAGAAAAAGAAGAAAAAGGTGACATCGTGTCCTATTGTAAAGATCCCTGGACGAGTGTTTCCGGTAGACATTTTCCATTCGAAACAGCAGCAGATCATGGGACACAGAGGTCCATTGTCGACGTATGTACGATCTGCTGTCGAGACGATGATGCAGATACACAATAGTGAAGAGCCGGGTCATATCTTGATCTTTCTTACAGGCCAACGTGAGATTGAAGACGCGTGTGCACAAATTCGAGCGCTTTATCGAGACCAGAATGAGAGACGAAGTGATGGCATGAAGCTGCGTGTTTTACCACTGTATGGTGCTTTGCAAGGCCGAAGACAGCGTGAGATCTTTGATGCAGTGTCAGTGGATTGCGTACGCAAAGTGATTGTTGCGACGAACATTGCCGAGACGTCCCTGACTATTGATGGAGTTCGATATGTTGTGGACTGTGGCTTTACGAAGCAGAAAGTGTATAATCCAGTGCAGCAGATAGAGTCTCTAGTGATCGTGCCGATCTCCAAAGTATCAGCGCAGCAGCGTGCTGGTCGAGCGGGTCGTACGGCTCCTGGAAAGTGCTATCGTCTTTATAACAAGGCGTCTTTCGAAGAATTTGCCCAGGAGACAGTGCCCGAGATCCAACGCACGAACCTGGCAAACACCGTATTATATCTTAAGCTGCTTGGTATCCAGGACGTGCTTGGGTTCCCGTATTTGGACCCGCCTGACAAAGATTCACTCTTGGACGCGCTAAAGCAGTTGTACGTGCTTGGAGCACTGGAAGCCACTACTGGCAAGGCTACGCCACTTGGTAAACTCATGGCTGCCTTCCCACTGGATCCAAAGCTTTCTCGTGCTTTAGTGGAATCCTTATTATTGAAGTGCAGTTATGAGATGACGCAAGTGGTCGCAATGCTTTCTGTGGAGAATGTCTTCGTCGAGTCTCATCAAAAGCGGCGGCGGCGTGATGAAAGCGAAGACGACGGAAACAAGGAATTCGATTGGGAGCATCGCATGTTGACATTGAAAGAAGACGGGCTTTTGCACAAAGATGGAGACCAGCTCACGTTCCGATTACTACTGGAAGCTTTTGAAGCTAAGTCTCGTGAAAATCGAAGTTATCGCCGTGAACTTGAGCTCTGGTGTGAAGATCGCCATCTTCGATTGCGCGCTCTGACGATGGCTGGGTCCATTGTGAAGCAGCTCCGTGATATCATTGACTCGCTATCTCGATCCGACCTCGATGCTGTTAAATCGACAGTGCATACAAATGACAACCGATTGGATGCGTCGCTCGACGACCGCCTTCGCCAAGCACTCTGCGCTGGTTTCTTCATGAATTCGGCGCGTCGGTGTACGATGGAGACGGTGTATCGCGTACAGACGTTTCACGACGACGATGGCCTAAAACCAGCCCAGCTTGTGCAATTTCATCCGCTATCGGCGATGTGCTACACCGCGCCACCCGAATTTTGCGTGTACCAGGAGCTCGTAGTCACCAGTAAGCCTTTTATGCGATGTGCGTTGGCTGTTGAGCGTCGTTGGCTCGACCAGTACAGCAAAGGCAAACTGAAAGTCTCAACGACACTGTTGTATGCTCTATGCGGACGCAAACCTCCCATTGACGAAAAGGGTGAGGAGCAAGAGAATCGGAAGCAGCCAAGTGTCAAATCATTGGAAGCAAGTTCATCAGCGGAAACTTCAAAGCTAATTCCAGTGACTGCTGATGCCGTTGCTGCGGCCCGTGCACGCTTCTTGGCGCGCAAGAAATGCTAAGAAACATCACGACATCGAGTTGGTGACAGAACGGCTGATGAAGGAGATACATAAATATGAAAAGCTCGTCTTACCTCACCTTTCTAACGATGTTTTGACCAAACCAAGCTCCCTACGTCGGAAGGTGATGACAAAGAGACAAGTACATCTCATCAAGGTTCGTGAGTTGACACTCTTGCCTCCAAGATTGCTCGGTCTGAGTAAAGATTCCTGTATTGTTTTTGTTGTTGCTGTCAGCTACAGAGCTTAACTACAAGTGTTGATGATCATCTCAATCGGGCTGTTATTTACTTAGCTGTCTCGCTCAGTCTGGAGAAGATGTTGCAAATGCGCGTTCTCTGTTTGCAACTCTGCAATGAAATGCTTCAAGTCCGTATTTTCGCTCGCCAGTGCCTTTTCCACCTCGTAACTGGCTACCATGAACTCTTCATAGTTGTCTTCGACAGTCTGCAGCTGCTCGGTTTTGGTTTGTATCTCCGTTCGCAAACTCTCCACCATATCGATCCACTTTTGGTCGCTCACAAATCGAGCTGCGTGTCCATTGTTTTTGTCGACTTTTCTAGCATTTGCTTTGCCGGTGTCATCAGTATTCTCGTTACAAGGTCCGAGCTCGAGTTCATTTTCTTCAACATCTAAGGATTTTCCAGTCGCTTGAGTCTCGTTTGGAATTACCACAACACTCAGCAAGCGACTCACTACATTCTGGTACTCCTGTAACTTTGCTGTCAAATCGTGGATTTGTTCCGCTGATCGAGAGTCGCTCTGTTCATGATTCTCCTGACAAATCTCGAGCTCCTGCTGCGCGAAAACGGCTTCTTCTTCGGCTCGTTCAATTTTATGGCTCAAATCTTCCTCCGTCGCTTTTAACCTGCGCACGCACGATTGAAGGTCGTCGTTTTCTTGCTCCAGGTGCCGAAGCTGTTCACGAAGCTTGGCCATGTCGTCGTTGTGCTCAGGTGTCTGCATCTGCGTGACAATAACGCTACAAAATCGTTTACTGCCAGACTCGACTAATGCCAGGTCAGACACGTGAGTATTTCCAATATCCAGACTCGTGTCAAGTCTACCGAACGCTCCTACAAAGTAAATCTGTATGAAAACTTTGCAATAAAGAAATGGGTCAAAGTCACTTTAAAGCAAACGTTGTCGCTGTCCACGTCGTCACCCTTTTGCACTTTCTCTCCCGAGACCAGCACTTTACAATGGTCACCATCTTTCAAACTTCCATGAAGGGATCGTTGCACACCTCGCCAGAAGAAACAGTCTGGTCTATAAATGACAAGGTACATTGTAAAATGTCGCATTCCACCCCCTTACGACTGCATTGAGTAAGTGAGTGCGTCAGGAGGAAGGAGGCATCGTTGCAAAGCAAACAAGACCAAAAAACCATCCACTAGTCACCTCCTTTTTGCACTATATAAAAAAAAAAACACACACACACACACCCACACAGACGTCTCCTCGATTCTTTTCCTCCTCTTCTCTTGGTCCATTCTCCTTCTTCTTTTTCTTTCTTTCTTTCCTTCTCCTTGTTTCTAATCCCCCTCTCCATCTCCACCCCCCCCCCCTCCATCATCTCCATTAAATCCTCCTCCTTGACTTCATTTTCCTATTGCACCACACAAAATCCTTGCATTTCCGACGCTTTTTTCACTTCCTCCAGTCCCTTTTGTGTCTCCTGTCGACTCTTTTCAACATGAGTCTCAATAACATCCAAATCTCCTTGTTGGTCGTGTACAATTGCTGCTAAATCTCGAAAAATCTCATTCACTTGGGCAACACTTTGATGAATTTTAACAATATCGTCTTCCCGCTCTTGAATCAGGACTTCATTTTGTGCAATTTCATGTTTTAATTGGGTAAATTCATATTGTTGTCCATCCTGGGGGGCTAGAATGTAGCCATCTTGGTGCTCTTGTAAACGGTGGTGATGTTGCTCTTGTTCACGGGCTGAGACATGTACGACCACAGATTCAAATTGGGTTGCAATTGTTTGAAAATCTTTCCAAATTTTTCGTTTGAGTAACGAATTAAAAGCATCGGGTGGAATTTGGGTCAAAAGAGTGGCAATTTCTTCTTGTAACAAACACGCAAAACGAATACGATCATGAAGATCTTCGTCAATGGCGTTTAAAACGCTTGACAAACGTTTGATTGCAACAACTTGACGTTGAAATTGTTCGAGTTTTAACGTTGCCGTTTCAATGGCTTGACGGGAGGGTAAGGATAGAGAATTTGGGAGATTGAAGGTACTTTTTTTCGTCTGGTTTAGAGACAAAGTGGACGATGACGTCGGACTGGTGGAAGCGAAATCGGCAAAGCTCATGATGATTAAAAAACTTTGTGAAAATGGGTTGGGTTGGAAGGTTTTGGGTGTTGGTTTTTTGGTTTTTGACCCTTTTTTTAGAGATGGGAATCAAGAAGTTTTGTTTTTTGGTAGTAGGGATTGGCTGTTTTTGTTTTTTTTTCGAGGCTTTCTTACGTAATTTTTTCAAGTGAAACAAGTTAGAGAAAGTAGTCGTTGTTTCGAATTATCACTATCTAGAGGCTATTGCCTACTAATAACCTTTCTCGAGCGATAGCGTTTCGTCATTCAGCACCATCCGAAATATACACGAGCGCTAATGCCAACCCTTACCAAACAAGTTGTAGACAAGCTAGAAACACCATGTTCTTAATACTAAAATGGTAGTGATCGAACTACACCAGCTGCACTTGCTTGCCTTATAGTTCCTCTTCCTTGCTAAACAATAAAAATAACGAGCACTTCCTTTGTACTCCCTCACTCACTCCTGTTCCCAGTTCTAATTTCCGAGCATGATCGCCTTGCAGAGCAATACAACAGATGTAACTGCCCATCCACTAAAGTTCCCCATCAGCAATCCCATGGACGTGATAGTCACGTAGTCCGACACTGAAACAACATCTTGCTTGGGTTTGGTCTGTGGCTTCGTGCTGTTCTTAGTGCCTGGGTAGTAGCAGTAAAACATGCCTGCTACGCCCATGAGACACACCTCCCAGCCAAACACAGCTCGATTGCTCAAAGATGGACTGTAAATACGGGCACTAGAGCCCACAAACCCCGTTGCAAAGGACAGCAACAGTGGCGTCAATTGAGCAAAAGTTTCGCTCAATTTTGGCTTAAGAGAAGGGCCGTAATGGTCGTACAATTGTCGTTTTTCCGGGTCCGACAACACCTCGTAAGCTTCGGTAATAGCTTGAAATTTCTCTGGCTCTTCATCAGGATTCTTGTCGGGGTGATACTTTAATGCCATGGAGCGATACGCTTTGACAATCTCGGATGTACTGGAAATTGTGTCGGATATTTAGTACAGTTAAGAGATGAGAGATTGTGAATGTTACAGACATCGGTTGTGCGTCAAAATTGATGAGAAAGCAGTATATGTACCTTGCATCGACATTTACATGCAGGATTGAATAGTAGCTCGACTTCTGTACGTTGGACATGGTGATTATAACAGCAGATCGACAACTGTCGACTAGTTATGCGGGACACGTTTTTTTTGGACTCGGAGAATTTGAACGCAAAAAAGAGTGAGTACAGTTTTTTTAGAAGCGTTTTAGCCATTCAAAATGAAGTTGAAGTGTGACTTGACCATGTTACAAGTAAAGTATACATCAAGATAAAGGTATAAATACGAGAACCTTTCGTTGGCTACTTTAGAATGGACTACAAGTCGAATAATCTGATAATTAGAATAGCTTCATATGGGTCGAATCTAGTACTGGAATCGATCCAATGTTTGGTATAGAAGCCGAACCATGGGGATAGCGATTAACGACGCTTTTACCGATATCAAGTTTTAAAACTGATGAGAGCGCATATCACGAACTTTTGCGTAGCTCAGCTACTATAACCAGCTTTTCATACGTTCACCAATGTATCTTGTTAATACGCGAGCATTCGAGCATGAGGTCCAATGTTACAAAATTGACGGTAACAGCCATGATTAAACTCGGCACATGATCCACTATCGATACTAAGATGACAACATCAGCATCGCTCCATTAGCGCTGGGCGTATGCCCGTTATCAAGGAATATCCAAGCTCGCTTTACTTGCTTCGAATCTGCCGATGCCTGTAATCTGTGGATCTCTTAAACATGCCGTTCGTCTGAATGTATTTGCTGTACAGTCTGGAAATTTTGACAGCACGGATTTCGCTTATGTCTTGAACATGGATGGACAAGTACGACGCATGCTATGGCTTAAGAACCACAAGCTACGAATCAATTAACGAGTTCCTTTTCATGTCGATTCACTACTGAAAGATGAGTGCGGAATGCGAAAGCCTGTTAATGTCCTTGGTCCAAGGGAGTCAGTATTTAAAAAAACTAAAAATAATCACAAGGAGCCCAAAATAAGGTTAATTAAGTACGCATTGATTCACAACTCGCTAATCGTTTGACATCGTTTTTTCCGCGATATTTCTCTGTCGTTTGCTCGTAACTTCGTCGTCTATTCGTCATCATTTCATCCAATCACGTGCTTTGTCGTTTCTAAACACGTCCTTCATGATCATAAAATAAAACTCCGTAAAAGGACGACTCTATTATCTTCCTCTAGAACGACAGAGACGAACGCAGCGCTCTCTACGATGTTTGTCCAAGTCGTTTTCTTAGCTACAGGCGTCTTTTCTACATGTGTAGCACAATTTGTATTCTATCAAGGAGCGGGGGATCAAAAGGCGATGCTTTTGCCACTTTGTAATTATTTGGGAATGATGATGGTCGGACTTTTGCCTGTTATGGACGAAACTGCAATGAAAAAGAAGGAAAAGGAGAAGAAAAAGAAGAAGGAAACGATGCAGAATGGAAAGGAGAAGGTCAAGAGATTATCTGAAAAAGACATGGAACCAGAACTTACTCCTATACACCCAATGAAGACAATGACGAGCTCTATTAAAGAAGAATGTTCGATTGACTTGGAAACTGTGGATATGGAACTGATACGACGATCAAATGTACTGGAGGAAGAAACGTCAAAAGATGACGACCAATTGTTGTTACTGGAGGATGACGGACTTGAGAGTGATGAGAAGAAATCGGCATTTGGATTTCGTGTCACTTCGTCGTCTGTTTCGGTTTCATTCTCGACGTTACAAGTGTGTATCATTGTATCCGTGATACTGGACTTTGCTGGATGCATTTTCTCCAATGTGGGACTATCCATGGCTGGCAGTGGCTTGTATCAGGTCGTGTACTCGAGTGTCATTTGCTGGTCGGCACTTATGTCTCGGTTTATTCTGAAGAAAGTTGTGTCAAAGGGAGAGTGGTATGGTATTGCACTAGTAACATTTGGACTTGCGTTTAGTGCATTGGGGGAATCAGGAAGTGGACGTGATAACACACTTGTGCTCATGGGCTGTTTCAATACGCTGGTGGGGGCGGCTTTTTACGGTGGCAATTATGTCACGGGAGAGTATACGCTCAATCTAGCGGAACAACCACACCCGAAAGAATTGTGTCTCAAGATTGGTGCGGCTTGTGTTGCAATCATTGCTGTTTACCAGAGTATCTTTGTGCTGCCTGAGTGGGATGCATTAGTAACGAAGCCCATTACCGATGTAAATGGGAACACGATCCACATTGTGTCTGCGCTCGTAGCGTATACTTTGTCCCAGCTTGCCCATGGACTCACGTACTTTGTGATGCTCGGCTCGAGCGGTGCCGTCACCACAGGTATCATGCAGAGCTTGCGTGCTGTGTGCGTGTTCGTGATTAGCTCGATGCTGTACTGCAGTCAGCAGGAGTCGCAGTGCTTTGATACGAAGCGTGGCGTCGCTACCCTGGTCGTTGTGAGTGGAGTCATGTTCTACTCGTGGGCCAAGAGTCAGCAGAAAAAGGCGAGTGTACTAGCTTCTCCGTCGTCGCGACGACCAAGGAAAGACTCGAAAACCAGGACGAACCCAAGCAAGAACTATGTCGTCTAGGTCGCGTCACCAGCAAAGGAGTTTTGGACATGAACTTGCCTTACCCACTAAACAAGTGGCAGTATCTTATCTTTTCAGTAGTTATATAGCTCATAACAATAATGCCGTACAAGCAGTTGTGTTCTACTGTTGTGTCCGCTAGATACTGCAATTGCTGCAGTTCCGTTCTCGGTACTTGCATCGTCAAAATCATGTAGCAGTCCTGCTAAAACCTTGGAGCTCTTCAGGATGAAAACCAGCAGAAATTTGCCCCATGTGAGCATAGCTGTCGCCCTGCCAGCAATCTCCACTGCTAGTCTCAACACCTTGTTCTCACGAGTTCAAAGTAGAAACCACCCCAATAGAAGAAAAAAGCGTCTCCATTCTTGTGCTTTGAGTTACGCTGCAATTATCACTACACAACGTGCAAGATTTCCACCGTCCTGAATTCTTGCTGCTCAGACCACTTCAAAACGGTCTTCGTTTACATAAATGACTTGAGTGGGATATCATGGACTCATGCGAGCAAGACGCTAAATAGATTGTAATCGATGGATATCGATCGTAACCGGAGCTCCAGTGGACCTGAATTGTTGTGGATTGTTCAGAAATTGTTTGGTTCCAGGCTGAAGTGAGGTATCTCTTCATCCACTTGACCCCGTAGATAAATGTAACGAGATCATGGTACCTTTCATCTCACTCAACATGATACTATCATGGTCAGACGAACACCTTTTGCCACACGTCTATTGATTGATAAGTGAACATGTTTAAAACCTCGTCGCATCAATTAGCTTGCGATATGGCGGTGTATAAAACTCATCAAGGTTTCGTGGAATCATCGCATCTATTTGGCCATCCGATTGAGTCTCTGCATTTCTTGATTGATTGATGCATGAGTGGTGAGACTGAATACAGGATTGGTTCAGAAACGTAGCGCCTATAGTTAATACATCTTCAGTCTTGAATTTGTCTCGAGTGACTCTGACTGGAACTGGAACTGATCCGATTTGCTCACACGATGTTGTTACCTGTAGTTTCATTGCGACACCGGGGCAGAAATGATGATAATGATGACAATGAGAAACAGGGAAAGCGTCGGAGACGAGGTATTATTGCAAATTGGCTGAATAAGGTCCGGTCTCGTCTTTTGTTGGTGCCAAGAGGTGTTCCATGGCAGCGTTTACTACTGCTGGGAATGTTGGGAATGTTGATGATTGGTGGCGCGATGCTCCTGGTGTTAGAGGTGACGGGTCAAATGAGATTTCGCGGATACTTTGTATCGCAACGAGGTCACAATGGACAGCTGGGCTTTTATCACGAAATGGACGTCGACATGAAGGTACTAAAGGACACAACAGGAAGACCAGAGGGGAAGATATTCCCGGCATCGGCGTCAAACCTGACAGAGATTAAAGCATGGGTGGCTGAACGTAGACAACGCACCAATGGACGCAAGTTTCTCGTAGGCTGCACGTCGCATTGGAAGGGCTACGTCTTGCGCTCATTCCTTTCGCTCTTTGAGGAGCTCAAGACAGAGCATGGGTGGGAGGAACTCGATACGTCCAAGAACCCGATGAAGGTAATGATGTTCCAGATCGACCAGACACGAGCTCCAAGTGTCATGCTTTTCTGCTTGAATTCGTTTCACTACCCAATGGCGCTACTGCAACAGTACAGTGCGTACTTCCAAGAGCTACGTGCACTGGGCACGATCATGGCGGTATGGAACGACGACTTGCACTACTACGATCAGTTTAATCCCATTGTACTGCGTGACGAGATTCTGACCAAGGTGGATGTTTTACTGGGTACGTACACGTACTTTATGGATGACTATTTTGCCAAGGTTACGAATCTAGTGAACGAACGCGACTTGCCACTGACAGTCTGGTTGCCTCACTCATCGAGTCCAGACTTTGTGAACGCATCGTTCAACGAGTACCCGATCAATAAGATTATTCTTTCAGGCAAACTTGGTTCAAACTGGTACCCACTGCGCCACTGGCTTGGCATTTACCAGCAGGACCATCAGGATATCATGGATGTGTATCACCACACAGGTTATTACGTAGCAGCAAACCAATCCGCCATCTACGCGTCGTATCTGCGTTCATACCGTACGGGTATCACCACAACGTTAATTTTCCAGTACGTCATTGCCAAGATTTTTGAGATACCTTCGACGGGGGCGTTACTGGCCGTCAACCGTGACGTTGCACCGTTACTTGCCACATTGGGGATGAATGATGGCGAGCATTATGTGGCTTTTGATCGGCAGGACCCTGAGAAAATCATCAAGTGGGTAAGTGATCCACGCAATTGGCCCGAGATTGACCGGATCCGTCGTGCTGGAATGAAACTGGTTCGAGAAGAGCATTTTGTGACGAATCGTGTGAAAGCCTTGGATTTGTTTGTCATGGAGGGGGGATTCAGTATCAAAATCCATTGACATTGCACATTACGAGTCCCTGTCCATCAATAGCCATGCCGGACAAGTCGAGGTGTGAAAGTCGATTCAATCGTGAATCGTTTTATAAATGTGACCGCTGGTTTTGTGGCATGCACTCAATTTTGCCACACGGGGACTAAATTACAAAGCAAGAGTCTGTATTAACTTCCTGCAGTACTTTCTTTTATCCAATCAAAATCTTTATGGTGTACCTTCCTCCACCAATCCGCGATCAGTTTTTTGACTTGGTCTTTGTATTGCACTTTCCCAGTGCGGTATTTTTCCCGACTATAGTGCATCTGATTCCGCACTGATCCGAGAGAAGAAGAAGAGAAGAAGAAGAAGGGAAGAGATGCACTACGAGTTTATTGACGGTCTCGAGGTAACGTATGGTAATGCACTAGCTGTAGGTGGTGGTTTTCACCGCGTCACGACTGCCGAGGGTTCAGCGGCTGAGGTCTCGCCTCATACTTTTCTATGGTACAAACTCTCGTCTCCGAATCAGAAAATGAGTACTTCTGATTCTGATTCCACCCTTGCCATCACGCAATTACGGATCGAACAGGAACAAAAACAGATGGAAATGCCTTGGATAAAATTGGACAAGTCTGTTGATCGTCAGAATGGGCAGTTTTTATGGTATCAGACGACACAATTTAAGGCCACATCTGTATCCTCTGATCAAACAAAACAGTTGATGCCATTGAAGGAAATTCGTGTGGTACGGGACCTGAAGGACGTCCCGGAAGGGTTTGAGGTGCTTGATGAGCCACTATTGAGTGTAGACGACCAAGAGAGTGAGTCTATAATGATGATATCGTAGTAGTAGTAGTAATAGTAGTATACTGAAAGTAGTACTGATAGTAGTAGTAGTACTACTATTGTATGGGAAACAAAATACTAATGTTCTTTGTATGTATTGATTGTGATACTTTAGAGGAACTACGAACGTATTTATGTTTTCGTCGACTTGGAAGTGAAGACCTTTTGGGTTCGAAATGGTCCATTTTGAATCAAAAAGTGGGCAATTGGATTGATGTCAAGGACCTGTCGTCCAACAAGTGGCGCGTGGCACAGATTGTGAGTCAGTCAGTATCGGAGATTCGAGTTCATATTCCAACGTGGAGGAAAGGACGTGACGAGTTTTTGTCACGTTTGACGTGCCACAATCGTGTGGCTAAGCTCGGAACACATACGAACGTGTACATGTCTCCGGCGTATCCGTTCCCACGTAAGCAAGGGAGTATGTGGAATGCCAATATGAAGGACCTGCAGCACGCTCGAGAACAATTTGACAAGTATTTTTACGATCGTGACAGGCAGAAGTCATACTTGCCACGATTGCTCATTCCATTTATTGAAAAGTCGTTGCTGTGTACGTTCCTGTCGAGTGATCTTGCAGACAAAATGAATGCATTTCATCAGCACGTGCTGAAGAATGTCGTAGCATGTATGCTTGGCAACGATGCGGGTAGTGTTATGGTGTATATGCTGTCGCTGTTGCGAATGATTCTGAATGGACACAGCTCGTGTATGTTCTTTTACATTAAGTATCCTGGAAGCTACACGGCGGCAAAGTATCAACGTCTGGTGTATACATCGTATTTGGTGAGCCCAGATGCACTGACAGCGATTCCAAGTCGCCATCCATGTCGATCGTGTTACTTCATTGACAATGTCGACTTGTTCGTGCAAGCAGGAGGCTTTCGTCTGATCTTACAGCGCCTAGAGGGTACAGATACTGCGTTAATCGAAGTACTGCTCTATTGCACGATTCTTGTCGAAGCAAAACCTTGTTTTACGCAGCAAAAACGTCGCCGCAGCTCTCCCTCAGCTCGTTGTCGTTCAACAGCGGAATCCCAGACAGAAGATTTTTTCCGGGAGTTTCTAAATGCTACTTTCTCACGGCTGCGTCGCATGAGTGGAGAGGAGCTAAAAGATGACATCGGGCTCATCGATCAAATAGTAGACATGCTGGATGTACTTTGCAGGGACGGGCTGTTGCTTGGAGGGTGCAGCTCTGAATCAGACATCGACGAATTAATTGCCGCTGATTGTTCCGCTTCATCGTGTGATGTGGAATTTGCTGAGGCGATTGAAATCTTCCATTTGGATTTATCAAAAAAGTTCATTTGCTGCCCGTATTTGTCGCAACGCCTGCTGGGTATTTCACGCATCAACGATTTGATTTCCATGGCTCAACGAAAGGATGCTCTCCATAGAAAAGCAACTTTGGTTTTGAGACGATCTTCATCTTCCATTAGTACAACGGCGTCATTAAGCACGAGTACTTTCAGTACTGCCGCATCCTTACAGGCTTCGACTTCTGGGGACCAGCCCATTACAAAATGGCTGCGCACGAAATACATTGTTGAGTGGTTGACGGCATCAGACATCCTAGAGGTGATTTTAGGTGATCGAGAGAGCTGTGTCAAGTACTCGCTTCAAGAGGGTACGCATTTGGAGATTTTGAAGCGTTCCAAAAAGATTTTTAAATTCGTAGCGTATCACGGCCTCTTAACAGAGCAGCATATTGTGTTGATGTGGAAAACGGCGATGAGTCAACTGCGCTCAGGCAGAAAGGCAGTTTTTGATATTTTTATATCGCTGTGCGGTGTGCTATCGGCTGATTTGATTGATGTCGTCGTGATGCTGTTGACGCAAGTTCCTTTAAGTGACTATGACGAACTTGTCGTGAACTTTATTAAGCGTGTCATTACGATTGCATCCAAGCTCGTAGTTGATGCTGATGCGGGTGGGTTTAAGATGTCGCTAACGTCCCTTGTCAGTGCTGCATCTGGAACAAGAAACAAACTTAGCGCTAGTGCTGAGAAAGACGTTGAAGTCCTAAACAAGGTGGTGAACTTATGTTGTACCCTGTACTGGAATGCTATATTACAAACTGAGGCATCAAACGAGAGTGGAGCAAACAACAGTTCTAGGCTGCGTGTTTCAATGCGAAGTGAAGTAGAGGCAGCTCTAGCTGACTCGTTGAACCACGTGCAAAAGCAGTGGATTTCCGCCGGGGCAGCATCATTTACGTCAGGAAAAAAGCAACAGCAGCTATTAAGCGACTATCTCCGCAAATGTGCAGAGAACATCGAGTCTGGCACGCTGGTAGAGACATCCATGAGTTTAATCCGTCGGATTGTGGACGGCTACGGGGGAAACTCAACCTCATTAGCCGGTTCAGCATTGTCATTGACAAGAGCAAATTCTCCTCCTACAACACCCGGCGAGCTTCTAAAAGAATTAAACAGTGCGCACAATATTGTGCCAGTTGTCGTCGAGGCAATCATAAATTATGTTGCTCAGTCAGATTCCAGAAATCAAACGCAAACAGCTCACGCTGCTGACATCAAGAAGCGCTTGGCATTTCTTGGATACATTATAACCAAATCCGACCTAAAGCTGCCGTTTGATGCTGTATGCCAGCTATGGGGTTGTTTTAACGGCCCCAACAGCACGATAGAGGAGCGCGATGTATTTTTTGCGTGGTTTTTGACGGTTATCCCCGATCCTAACAACTTTGTCCATCGAGCGTATTCAGGGCAAACGGGTTTTTCTGAAGCTGTGGTTGGTGAAATTTTTTGGTCGTTGATTGGGTCTCAGTCCACCAGCACTAAAAATGAAAGCGCTTTCCAAATTCGTTTGGACATGCAAAGTATGAGCAAAGAAGCGTTTTGGGTGCTGGAGCGGCTATTTCGGTTCGTTAACACAAGCGCTAGGCGACTTTCCTCTACTGGTGTTTCTGGAAGCACTCACACGAGAAGCGTGTCGGGTAAAATGGGTGAAGCTGACCTTTTTGTCGTAGAAGCGTTGGACTTGCAAGGTCTTGAGACATTATATGACGTGGCTTTGCGCGCAGAGAATGATGTTGTGAGTCAGCAAGCGATCAATTATTTGATCTATCTGCAGCTTCACGTCGGCTCAAAACTCGTCCGGCGCGAGGTGTGGGCAGACTTTGTCGAAATGTGTCTCTGGAGGCTAAAGGAGACGGTGAAACGGGCAACTGATGCGTTGAAGACGCGAGAGGTTCTTCGCCTGTTAATGCTGTTAAATACGTTTCTTTATCAATCAGTCGCACAGTCTCAAGGCGGCGGAGGAACTGTTGATGGACCGAAAGGACTAACGGTATATGTTCGAACGCAAGGGGGACGAGTTGCAGCACCTTTTCGGTACCACCTAAGGCGCACTTCGCTCGTATCAGAGCTGCGTGATCAAATTGCCAAGGATACCGGCCACCCTGCCGATCGAGTTCGCATCGTGAATTCTGCAAAGACTAAGCTGACAGCGCAAGGGCATGGAAAATTTACGCTTGAGAAAGCGCGTGTCTTTAGTTCATCCTCTGCATCTTCACGACCATCTTCAGCGCAGTCGTTAACGCAAACAGCACCAGCTTCCGTCCGCAGGAATAACGAGCATACCAGCTATGTTGACGCAATTTTGTTGTCGAAAGTGGAAAGTGACACGAGTGGTCACACCAATCGCAGTATCTTGGACTTCCACGGAGCAGCTGGGGTTGCCGCCGCGGCTGCTGCTGGTGTAGGTGGCGCTGGGAACAATAGCAGTCCAGAAAGCGACTGGCATGCAATCAAAACGGAGATATCAGGAAACGATACCTGGGTATCACTTCTGTTTAGTCAGCTGTCCTGCAACGACGGAATTGCAGAAGAAGCCTGGAAAGTGCTGAAGCTGCTCACAACGAATGAGGAGATGGAAAAGCAAATGCGTACATTGAACGGTGTGCTAGCAATCGACGGCTCCATTCGTAAAAAGACAAGCTTATTTGAATGGGATACGCTTTTGGATTTAAAGTGCCCTCCAAAACTATTGTATCAACTCGAGTTGGTGGAGAAATTTGCGCTGTGCGGTGATGGACGCCATGACGCTGATGACGAAGAAAATGGTGAAGGCGACCACCGAAGGCATGAAGCTGTTGGATCGATTGGAACAGTTAATGCGTGGAGTGCATCTTTCTTAGAGCTTGGCGGTCGAGCTCAACTGGAAAACTTTGTTCTCTTGTCGAATCCACGTCAGCTGCTTGCACAAGGAACACTTTGTGTTATGTGTTTATCGAGACTATCTGAAGTTGCTCCTCCATTTCGTGCTGGTGGAATGTAAATTGGCGGATAACGATGGAGGATCCCTTGGTGAAAACCCGCAACAGCTGATTCATCAGTTCCTGGAAACGCTGAGCAGTCTTCAAAGCATCGATGAAGCATCTATAGAGGCTAATTCGTTGACTGTAATTACACAAAAAAGCGTATCATTAAAAGCGCAACTCTCAACGATTGAAGATCAGCTCAACGCAACACAGCATCTTCCGCTAACTACGTATCCTCGTCCACAGGTTGAAGACCGAGACAATATTGACGATATTCCGAGTGATGCCTATTTGATGACTCGTTTGATTTCTTCTATTGCTACATGGACGCTGATAGCTACGCAAGGTGCGGGGGAACTACTGGAGAGCTACCCCGGTTACGGCAAAATTATTCTACGCTGTTTAGTGGAAAGCCGCTTTAAGCCTGTTCGGTTGGAGGCTGCCAACGCGATCGCTGCCTTGTCGACCACTAGAAACAAGCTTCAAGAAGACCGTGTGGCGTGCTGCAACTATTTCCTGCGTCTATTAGGCGAATACTCTGGGACAGTGAATGACGAAGAGTATTACAATGTATTCACACTACTAATTACGAGCGCAGAGGATTTGACCGAATTTGCATTGCTCGCGCCTTGCCAAATTTTATGCCGCCGAATCAAGGTATTCAAGATCAAAGATGATGTAGTAGGTGTGACTGTTGGCCCTATGTCCCTCTCAGCTCGGAGTAGTAGCATAGAGGGAAGTAGGCACTCTCTATCGACTGGACCTGCACTGGGCAATCACGTTCACCCTCACCCTCCCTCTCCCGATGTGCTGTTGGAAGGGCAGTTGTCTACGCTGCTTGCTATCATTAAACGGGTCCCGGCTGTGCTAGCGAGCGGCCTTCTTGATGTTCCATGCGACGGTCGCAGCTTGCGCGAGGTTGTCGCGCTAACCCTTCATGAACGGGAAGGGATCATAAACGAGCTTTTCCACCAGTGTCTATTTGCTACACCTGAAAAACAAAAGGACGGTGAGGTTCAATGCGACGGAATTGACAGTGATGTCGTTGATATCCAGGTACCGCCTTCATCGCAGTACTATCTCCGGCAGCCTAAGTGTCGTAGCGACACATGCCGAGGGGTTGCATTTGACCTTCTCACGGAGCTCTCTATTGACAATACCGACGGCTTGCGCTTTTTGTTGACGCAAATAGCAGATCAACATACTCTGGAGCGCTCTCCAGATCATATAGATACAACGTCGACGATCTCAACGTCGAAAAGAAAGAGCTCAAAATCGTCGAAAGACCAGGTGCTTCAAAGGGGAAAATATGTGGGTTTGAAAAACCTTGGGTGCACTTGCTACTTGAACTCGACGATTCAAAGCTTTTTTATGATGCCGCGCTTCCGTCGCCAAGTTTTACGACTTCAGTCGAATGGAAGTGGCAGCGATAAACCTGAAGCGGTGAGCTTAACGTATGAGCTTCAGTCGTTGTTCGCTCATTTGGAGGGCAGTGCCAAGTCCTACTACAATCCACGCCCATTCACCCGTGCAATGAAAACTTGGGACGGTGAAATTGTAGATGTGAATGTCCAGCAGGATGCCAGTGAGTTTCTCACTTCTTTTTTCCAGCAAATCGAGTCGGAAATGAATGGCATCAGTGCCGGAAGCGGTGATCACTATACAAGTGAGGAGAATATCTTGAACACGTTTTTTGGGGGCGAGTTTAGCAATGAGCTTGTTGCTGAGGGTGATCGCTACAGCGAACGCTTTGAGCCTTTCCACTTCATTTCCGTGCCCGTTCGCGATCGGAAAAACTTGAAGGAATCGCTCGATGGGTGGGTGGAAGGTGAAAGGGTTAGCTACACTTGGGAAACAGGCAGCAGCTCGAAAAGCGGAGGTGGAGCTGGAAGTGATGGTGAAGATGAAGAAGAAAAGGTGACACTGGAAACGCACAAGCGTATCTCTATTTCTAAGCTACCTTCCTACCTAATTATCCACCTAAAACGCTTCGAGTTCGACTTTGAAAAAATGCAGCAAATTAAGCTTCATGACCGTTTTGAGTTCCCGATGGAATTGGACATGTACCCGTACACCAAGGAAGGGCAGCAAGAGAAGCGAAAAAGATCGACATCATCTGCAGACGATGTAACCACCAGTCATGATGTCCGACTGAGTACATCATCAGACCGCATGGACGGTGGAAGGACGACGGCACCGGAATACTCTCAATATGAGCTTGTGGGGACTGTTGTGCACCTTGGTACGGCCCATTCAGGACACTACTACTCATTTTTGCGAGACCAGGAAATGCCACTTGACAAAAATCAGTGGTACGAATTCAACGATACGCTGGTAACTCCATTTAATCCAGCCCACATTCCAGATGAGTGTTTTGGCGGCGAAGAATCAACACGTACTCGGCATGGCTCAACAAGTGGATCCTCGTTGCCGGAGAAAGGTGCTCCGCTGCCAGCTACGATGAAGAACCGTAGCAGTTTCATGCTGTTCTACGCCCAAGTGCCTTCCACGCTACGTATCGTCAGCGAAAGCGATACTCCTTGTGTCAGCTTTTCTAGCGCTGTACTTGTGACAGCATTTTGTGCACGACTGAAGAGGAGAGCATCTTTCAAGTTAGTGCGTTTGCGTAATGTGGCTCACGTGATTGCGCCGGAGGCAATTCGAAAACTTATCGCTATGGAGAACTGCTTGTTCTGGCGTAAAAAGTATCTGTACGACACGCGATGCCTGAAGTTTACGTACAATCTTTTGAGATCGTGTCTCGTAGGGCTGGAAAATGCCAAGAGTATGGCAGTTATGCCGCACTTTGAGCCGGTAGAGGTACAGTTTGAAGCCCTGCAAGTGGCTACAAAGTTTGTGTTTGGCACTTTGTGGCAAGGCGGTGACGTAAGCAAGGTCTTGGAATGGCGTCTCATTCTACAAGCACTCTATCACTCTGATGTTGGTGGCTGTCGCTGGTTCCTATCAACTATGGAAGCGAACGAGTCGCTACTTCTGGATTTGCTCGTTTTTAACGAGCACCGGGAGGTCCGTGAACTAATGGCTAACGTTATTTCGGAAGCCATTGTGACCACATCAAATACTGAGTTCGAAAAGGAGGCGGATCACGAAACGCAAACTCTTGCTGAAAACGGGAAAAAACAATTGCCCGCGTCGTTCGAGTTCATGTTTTTCCTAATCCAGTTGATGCCAGCGTTGCTTTCAGTTCCTGTCCACCATCATCGCCAATATTTCCTCACGATGTACGATTTTGTCCAGACGGGGCGCAATGAAGGGTCTTTCCTTGTGGTAAACGGTGTTGTTGGCGCGATTGTTGCACTGCTTACGGGCCTCGGGACGACACAACCGCTGCTCCAGTCGCAACTGAAGAAGCACAAATCAAAGCAAATATTGAAGTGCATCGACCTTAGCGTCACGATATTGAAGCTGTTGTCCGTGCTTGTTCGCTGCAGCTTACCTTCTGCAATTGATGTTGAAGCGGATGCCGACCACCCACTGACTCTTCCGTCGAACATGGCTCATGATCATGTGGATCTCACACCAACAGACCATGACGTTCTTCTCAATGAGCGCTTTGTCACCCTGCTTACGCAGCGTGCGAATCACTATACCAAGGAGACAAAACCACTGGAGCAGATTGTTAATCATTTGTGTTGGGAAAGTCGACGCGTCACTGCAGCATTCATGAAAACGATAATGCATGGTATTGAAGTAGAGGACCACCACGACGTTAAGCCATACTTTCGTACGCTGCATTCGCTTCTCAAGATCCGCGATTCACTTGCGGTAGAGCGTCTGACGGATGCTCTCACCAAGCTGGTTGCCGTGATGGCATCACAGCAACGGTATTATAAGGCTACAGAAACGTCCATTGATATGCTCGCAAGGCTCGCAAAACGCCACAGCGGTGTGACACAATGGCTGCGGGAGAATCGGCAGAGCTGTGTGTGGATGGAGAAGTGGCTGTTGGCCCACCGCGGCACTGAAGGGTATTTGCAACAGCGCAAGACCGTGTTGGTGAAGCCCAACAGCACATCGTCATGGGTGAGCGTGAGTGTAACGAGTTCTGGACTCATCAATGCCATTGACCGTTCCATCACGAGATTGCTGCCACGGATCCGTAGCATTTTAGACCCCAAAGCTGTCATTGAGACTTTCTACGACAGTGACGACAATCCTCAGCGGCTTGTTGGCAAGCGAGTTCGTGTCAGATGGGCAAAGGACAAGTGGTATGAAGGAACCGTCGAACAATTTAATGAGGACACGTACGAACACTTTGTGGCGTACGATGACGGCGACAAACGGTCGTATCATATGTCTGAGAAGCTGTTCTACATCGTGAATCTGACGCCGTCACCCAATCCTCGCAAGAAGAAACATCAGCCGCAACAAGCTTGAGAGGCTTCGGGCAGATAGTTGTAATGAGCCTCTAAATGCAAGGCAGCATGAAAAGCTGGCCGATCCGTTTGGTGATACGCTTAGCGCAATGTCTTCAGTCTTAGCCCAGCAAAAAGACGAACGGACGAGACAGATACGAGTTCACAAACGGTCTCACCAGGTTTGTCGCTCCAATTCCATGGCCAACGAAACGGATATAGTCTTCACTGTCGTTGTGGGCACAGCATTTGTACTTGAACGCTGAAGCAGCGTCATGACAATGAATATACCAAGATGCGCCGTGAACATGGACACCGACTGGCATCATTGCTACGTGACCAGGAAACCAATGGGTTCAGGGTGTATCTCATGAAGCACAACCTCTTCTACGTAATCGAGACCCACACAACTCACCCATCCGTCCGGAGAAGCTGAAGGAGCTTGTTTAACTGCACTCTAACGCGGATTATGGCACGATTGGAGACGACCTTTTCCGAGCTATTCTCCAGCATACCAAAAGTGAGGCAACCAACAAGAAATGGTGCGAGAGGTACAAGACAAACATCATAGCAAAATGACGAACGGATTCGACTTCTACATTCTTTGGTGATGGATGATATTGATAAAAAAGACCAAAAGCCGGCTATTGCTAGGGGAATTGTGGTGACGGTTTGTTTTACAACGTGGAGACCGCGATGCGTCTGCGAAGTGGTAGGCTTGCGATTTTGCGTTGACGATAAGCCTAAGGACAAATCACGACAATCACGAGCCCACAGAGTCGGCAGCACATTGCAAGCATAATGAATGATGTAACAATGGTTCACTTTGCATAGTACTTTTGACGTACTAAGTAAGGCCTTACCACATCGTCTTTACCCTTGTCATTTATGCTATACGTGTTCAAGCAAAGTAAGCAGGGCTCTGTCGTAGATATTGTAAGGACTTGCGGTACACTAGGTATATTGAAAAGTGAGAGTGCTAACCAACTAACATGCATGTCCTAGATCTAACCGCTATTTCTTTCGTCTTCCTGTTTTCTACTGTTCTTATGACTTTCTATACAGATATCCAGTATACTAAAATGGTATCCTGGGCGATTGCCCAGATACTTGCGTCTGTCCTACATAGCGGCGGATCAAGAAGCCGCTAGAGCGCCACCAGGCGCTTGCGCACAAGATACTGGATTCGGGCCGTTATGACGCCTTCCGCTTCCAGATCTTATATGCCAGCTGTGTAGCGCCAGCCACATCATGACAGATATCTTGGTTTAGAGCACCTTCATAAACTCCGGTTCAGATCCTGCTGGCGTGGTGAGCTCGTGATGGTGTCAATCTTACATATCATCCCAGCGAGCCGCAGCTATTTAGAAATGATGCTGTCAGCGTCTTCTGCATCTTTGAACGGACAACGCTTTACTTTATAAGCGGGTCAATTTTGCCACAACTCTGGCTACACAGTAGGACGACCAATAGCTTCCAGGCGTCAAGTGGCCCCTGCTTTGCAAGGGACTCGAATAGCAAGGAGGACTCCACATTTGACGCGAGTCTCTCATCATCAACCGCTCCAAAAGGTTCAGACGAAGTTTCAGCCAGTCATAACCCTGGCGATCCTTCGCGCGAACATCGCGCAGATCCGAAGTCAGCAAGACTTGACTTTCGCGATCCACAATCCGTCTGGCGACAGCAAAACTCTTCGCCTGCGTCTGGGGAAGGCATCCGTGAGTAGATGGGCGTAATTGACCGCTCTTATCGGGCGCCGCCTGCATTGGTAGATGGGTGGGAACCAACGTTCCTTGTTGGAAGGTTGTTGGATACCGCTTTAAGAAGCAAAAGCTTCAGATCCTCGTCCAATGGAGAGGATACTTGGAAGTTTTGACTCTTGGGAGCCGTCTGACGCGCTGCGCATCAACGTATCGGGTCTGGTGCCCACATACAGTATGAGCAGGAGCGCCAGCTACAGCCACTCCGCTAGGTCCGAATGGACTAGCGGGGGCGTAGCGAAGAGGATCAGAGTACTGTACCACCCTTGGCTTCTTTCACACGCACCCACAGCGAAGTTGGTTTGCTTCGACCGTGCATTTAAATGCTGCTAATACAGCGCAGTAATTCTGCTTCGTAGTGGTCGGTTTGTTTCTCTCAAGCGCAACACGACCAGAATAGGGGATGTATGACCAAGAAATTTTCATAATTGAAAGACGCTGTAACTACTAGCGTCGATAGCGGCACGCTTCAGTAGCGATGCACTATCACCATCCGATCTTGACCATTCTGATGGCGGTGGTATAGGTGGTATGCCACCAATCACATAGCCGCCCTCGCGACGACGTGCATAAGACACCGATTGGGCACGGCCTTGTGTAGTCGGTAGACCATTAGGCTCACACTCGTCTGAATCAGACTCTTCATTATGAACAGTCTGGACATCTTACATTGGGCTTAGGTGGCGATTTCTTATCGCCGTCCTCTTGTTGAGACGCGGCTTCACCTGTAACGAAAGCGTTTATTAGTGATGGTCGCTGCGCTCATTTGCGCAGGTGGCGAGAATGTACCTCGTTGATGGAAGGCGAAGACGCCTCCGTAACGTGAGGTGTATCCATGGTAGAGGCAATGGGAAAGGTGATGGGCTTAATAGCGCCATCGCCTTTCCCCATTTGCTCGCTGTACTCATCTTCACTTTGTGGTGATGGCAGCGGCGTCATCTCGTTGTAATTAACAACTAGATACAGATCTTCATCCGCACTATGTAAGTGGGATGGGTCATCGTGTCATGTTGACGGTTCTATAGCAACAGTAACTTTCGGCGCTACAACAGCGACATTTAGCGACGGTGTCGACGGTGTCGAATCATCGCGGCGCGTATGCCTTGTGTTTGACTGTGTAAATGTCTTCACAGGCCCTTGTGTATGTGATATACACTAGGTGTATTCACATTGAAGGGGATGATGCCTAGCGGGGACTATGCGTCATCGAAAATCGTCACAGACGGACGTCATTAAGCGAGCTTAAATATTGGTAAGATCACCACATGGGGATGAGCACCTTAAGAGACGCTCAACCAGATCGTTTCTTAGCCAATAATGCTGGGGCGTTGGCAGCCAGTATTACGCCTCAAAAAAACGTAGACTGAATTTTGTCGTCAATTGCTTCTAAGAAGCAAGCCAGACAGAAGATCGACCTACCAAAGCCCACAGTGGAAGCTGACAAAGAGTGCCCCTCCCCCTTGCTTCACACGAGCCGACCCATCGGCTCGTGTGAAGCAAGGGGGAGGGGCCTGTAGCGCTATTGTATGTAGAATTCCTACATGGAATATAGACGAATCTGCCTCGAAGTACCTCGCTAAATCTACAGTGAATGAGGCCGGATATGAAGGCATGTTGCTGTGTTTTGACCGGTTAAAGTCGCAGGAGCAACGGCGGCTGATCATCTTTGGAGATTCCGATTTGGTTGTACGACAGGTGCGTGGAGAGATCGAGTGTAAGGCTTCAGGTTTATCCTCGTTACCGGCAAAGGCGTTGAGCAAGCTCCAGTCGTGGCCCTCCCATGCAGTCTTACATGTGAAACGAGACTGTAATCAGAGCGCGTACCAGTCGACCAGCGCAGGTTTACACCACCGAGCCGATACCGAAAGGAGAGTGGCCAGGTCTAGAAGCGATCTTTCGGCTGACAGAGGTGTTATTCCCTAAAGACCGGAGTCCGTCTGTCAAGATATTCGCGGTGACTCGTTCACGGTCCCCCGTCAAAATGTCTGGAGAAGTTATGCAAGAAGACGTGATACAACGACTCCGGGTAGGCCGAATCCGAGATACACAAGAAGAAAAGAGCTGGGTTTGAGATTCGAAGGGAGATTGGGGCGACCTGTCGGTGGAACCTGCATCAAACGTGCAGTAAAGTGTCCGGAGAATACGAGATAAGTGTAGAAGAATTACTAGCTTCTTGCCCGGCCAGATAATTGAGGGAGGCGACAGGGATGTGACTGCCAGATTGGTGATACCCGGGAGTCTCCAGGTCGACATCCTGCATCGCTACCATACAAGTCTGGAGGGCGGTAATCAAGGTATCGGACGTACCTAACATCGAATCCGGCGATACTGTCATTGGAGAGGTCTATTTCGGAGTGTCCAGAGATATGTGGGTCTCTAAATGGATTGTGTGACTGGAAAAGGGAGGCCTGATTTACAAGGGGAATGTTGAAGCGACGTACCCTTTCCAAATTATCGTGATGAACCATACACCCTCTCTTCCCAAGCCGTACAGAAGAAATACAAATCTACTGATCTCCTTTCCGACAGTCAACAGAGTGGCACAGGAAGTGGTTTGAAGCCTTATTATACATTGTGAGAAATCGCCACGTCGCATGCAAATGCAAAGAAACAGTTGTCGCAGCGAATTAACTTCGCTATGAAGCGTGCGAAACAAGCTATGGGTAGTAAGGTAAACCTGCTCGTCCGCTTCCGCTAGTCCATCGGGACCTATTGGAGCGGCTGCAGCTGTTGCTCCTGCTCATAAGCGATAATGCGGTGAAGTGCTTTGAATAGATTCGGCTAAGTCTGTAAAATGATCCGATCGATATATGCAGAATCGAGTTTTCGGGGCTTCTTTATAACTGTTGGTAAACGACAATTTTTGAAACTGCGGTTCCGCCAACGTTCGGATCCACGTTAATCATACAGCGTACCTTATAAAAATGACTTATGAGTTTAAAGTGGCTAAAAGATTGTAACAGAATGGCAATAATGAAGTTTAAGACGAGTAAGTCCAAATGACTATAAATAACGAATCGCGATCCAGCTGAAGCCATTGCGTAAGATAACTAAAGACAACCGACTGGAAAAATGTGAGCGAGGATATGTTCGCAATTCACTGCCGAGTACCCACGATGCGCGATGAAAACCGCAATGGCGAGAATGGAGAATATAACAATATCAATAGACCTTTAGTGATTGCGTTATTTCAAAATCAAGCATGTAGGATGTGCTGGAAGTGGTGAAGAATGTATTTGAAATTGTAAGAAAAACTGCAGTG